ACTACAAAGCTTGCACAAAGCACTTCCCAGTACTACTGTGTACTACAAAGCTTGCACAAACTACTTCCCAGTACTACTGTGTACTACAAAGCTTGCACAAACTACTTCCCAGTACTACTTTGCACTACAAAGCTTGCACAAACTACTTCCCAGTACTACTTTGTACTGCATGTCTTGCACAAACTACTTCCCAGTACTACTGTGTACTACAAAGCTTGCACAAACTACTTCCCAGTACTACTTTGCACTACAAAGCTTGCACAAACTACTTCCCAGTACTACTTTGTACTACAAAGCTTGCACAAACTACTTCCCAGTACTACTGTGTACTACAAAGCTTGCACAAACTACTTCCCAGTACGAAATACTAAGTGAATACTAAATATTTAACATTCGAAAACAAGTACGAGAATAATGATGAAAAACAACTGAAATGATGAAAGTGATCCGGGAGTGTGGTCGCGCAAGAAACGCGCAAGGTTGGCGCAAGCTCGGCCCAAGAGGCCTTTGTGGGAACAGTAATTTAGGACAACCCCCATATATAATATTGGTGCGATTACCCGTTCACCACCCTGTACCTCAGAATTCATGGTTTACATGACTCTATGTGGTCTATACATTTCATGACGTTTAAATAGACAATAAGCTTGAGCAGCAAGTCTATGCGGATGATGAAAGTGGAAGTGCCATTGTGCCATTGTCATACGTCTTTCAAGGATGAGTCCACGACTGAAGTGGCATCTCTTGCCGATTTTCAAAGGATGGCACCATCTCTGCCAATGACCTTTCGGAGTTTTTGAAAAAGGTGCTTAAAGCTGAGGCCGGAAATCCGACGCGCACAAAGTTCATGGTGTTCATGGAATTTCATGGATCATTGAACCTGGTACCAGAGTTGGTAGCAGACGCAGAACATAGCAATGACACGCAATGACCAAGAAAATGTGCAGACGTAGATGTAGACAGACTCAGATAGATCAGAATCAGATAGATGCAGCGACATGGTATTGATATTAATTGATATTAATTATTAATTGATCTTGATTGATATTAATTATTAATTGATTGATATTAATTGATCTTGATTGAATCTTGAATACAGAAATTGGCCTCCGCCAGGCCATTAGGGAGTTGTTGCAAGATGCAATGGGCAAGAAACCTTTGAATTTCCAAGGTGCCCGGGGGGGATGGGTTGGTTGTGAACCGCTACAAGTGAAGGCGATCAAACATCATATCAGATAGGTTTCATCGAAAATGGGGCCCCAATCTAATCTCATTGCAGGGTATGGCTGGGAAAAACAACATGCTTTCTATATCTATGAATTCCACGATATCTCATGTTTGACCATCATTTGTACCTCATTAAACTTGCAACACATTGGAATATATCTAGCATTTCTCTACAAACCCAAATCAGATCCCTCATTAATCTGCGTTGATCTTCACTATATATGATTGTCACACCAAGGCACTAATTCATATGATATATCCCGCTACATGCTCATTATATGCCACTGATATGCCCCATATATCCGCACGCTGTCCGCATGAAATGCTTCGGATTAGGCTTCATTGGTCTCCTCACGAAAGCCAGTAAGATGGAAAGCGACTTCACGGAGCAGACCGCGAAACTTGTCCACAAAGGGATCCCGAAATCATCCGAAATCACCAGCTAAAGATGCTAAAGCTATAGCTATAGCATGCTGCCATAATTCATCTCTGAATCCATCTCTGAATTCGTTGTATTTCAAGCGGCCCAGGATGGCCATAAAAAAATGGGATTCTTTTCTGACACTCTTTTAATATTTTAACATCTTTAAACATCTTTTAACATCTTTTAACATCGTTTAACATCTTTTAACATCTTTTGAACTTTTCTTTGAAGGCTTGCACTGATAGGGCATGGATGAACATGCTATGATTTGAGGCTGCAAGACTGGCAGATCAGATCGATGTCGTATGATGTTGTTTCAAGGACTTTCCATTGCTTGAGCCCTGACGCTGTGTCGAGAATGGAGCTGGCCATAGCCACCTGTGAAGGAGAGAGAGATGCACATCACATGCCAGCAGCCCTTGTGGGTGATCTTGCGATGGATCCACAAGAAGCGATGGATGAAGACACATTGATCCATCACAAAAAGATAAACAAAAAGATCCATCCATGGAAATTCACAAATTCACATGGAAATTCCCATGGAAATTCCATTGTTTCACGAAATTTCACGAATGCACGAGATGTAATGCACTCTGAAGCGATGTCAGCGCCACCGCCAGGATCTGCACATCCACTCCGCAGCGAAGCGATCAAGGCCGATGTGACCGATGTGCTTCGCTGTCGCAGAACTAAGTTTCCGATATTCTCAACGCCAGTCTCAACTTGAAGCATTTCACAAAGAGGCAGCTCTATATAGGCTAGCTATAATCAGCTATTATATCATCACCATCTCATTTCCATCATATATCTATCATATATCTATCATATATCATCAACCATCATCAACCATCATCAACCATCATCAACCATCATCAACCATCATCAACCATCATCAACCATCATCAACCATCATCAACCATCATCAACCATCATCAACCATCATCAACCATCATCAACCATCATCAACCATCATTTTGTTCATGGATATCATAGATCATAAACGATGATTATGATGATGCACCATGATGCACCATGATGCACCATGATGCACCTGCACCTGGTCCTCTTACACAAAATGTCCCAACAAGACCCCAGAAAGGTTCACGTTTCAATCCTCCGTGAGACCATGTGAGACCAAGCGCCAGTCCTTCCGTGAGGCCAAGCGCCGCATCGTCGACTCGGAAGCACAGAAGAGTCGGTGCAGCCCAGGGACAGGAGATTCAACGCATTCTTCTGCCTGCGATATATATTTACATATGATTCACATATGATTCAGATATAATATATTCAGATTGAACATAGCTAGTAGGGAAGAGGTTTTTATATAAGTATAAGGGATGCTGGCATGAAATGGCATGAAATGCCATGAAATAGCATGAAATGGCATGACATGGCATGAAATGGCATGAAATGGAATTGCCACTGATAAGAATTGAGGAGCTTCCGTGCATTTGCCACCTGCTCCCCACGCTGCTTTCCAACGCCTCCCTTTGACGAACATCATGGAACTCAGGGCGGAAAGAAGAAGAACAAAAGCGCAGGAGGAAGAAGCGAGAAGAAGAAAAAAAGGCCAGACGAAGGACTGCCATGGACTGCCTTTGTAGAGCATGGCATAGCATGGCGAACATGGTGTCTGCATTGGGTCAAGCGGGGGAGGACAAAACCAATGGAGCCTGTTCCAGAGCCCGACGAAACCCCTGTCCCTGGCTGAGATAGCTGTTACGCGCAGGGCATAGTCGACCATAGATGATCATAGATTACAGATCATAGATGTTAGAAGATGCACTGTATTTACACAGTGGAAGGTTCCGCTGAACATGATGAAACACTGCGATCTCCTGCAACGTGGTTCGTCTCAAGCAGCTTCGGCCAGGATCCATTGACGCTGAGTCTCATCATCCAAGACAGTTGCTGGGCAGCAGGAACTGGAAAAAAACGAAATGATCCGAAATGCCTTCAAAATGCATCTTCATACGATTCTATAAGATCTTGTAAGATTTTAGAAGATTTGCAAAAAGACGCATAAGATTTTATAAGAGATTCAGAGATATTAGGAGAACTGCCAGGTCAACAAGCCTGTTTCCTTCGACAAAACGCACTGCTCTTGTGACATTGCGGAGTTTTGATTCCTCATGCCATGCAGAAGGGTTTCCTTGTGCATGCCCTCGTTGAACCTCATCGATTCATGACATGGTGCAGGAATTTGACAAAGTTGTTCCTGTTTTGGTGAAATGTGATGAACATGTTGAACATCATGAAAATCCACTGCGCAATTGGGGCACCTGGTTCGAACAAGTCCTGCCTTTTCCTAAAATAATTGCTATGTAATTATTAATTACTATGACTTGGACTTCCATTTTCTCTTTTTGGCGACTCTGATTTGAAAGTCTCCAATGGTTTCATTTGTCTCCGAGTCTCCATTTTTTGGGTTATACTCAGTATAGCCTTATAGCCAGTCACGGCTATGGCTCTCTGTTTTTGCTTCCCCACTTTCTCCCATTCAAAGTTGCTGCCGCAAGACGAGACGCTTCAGGCAGCGATGGTTCAGATAGTGGTCGGAGTCAGTCGGTATCTCAGGCGTCTCGTGGTAGAACAGATACAGGAGACACCGTGGGCACCGTGGGCACCGTGGGCACCGTGGGAACAGTCAACAGCATGGGAAGTGTGGACTCTACCACCATGACCATGCAAGAGTTCGATGAGATACTCCGAAACAATAGCAGATTGATGGTGACTTTGTGAGCTACAGCAGCTCCGGATTTCTGTGAGATGGTCAGCCAGTGCTTTCAATATTTGTTGACCATTTGGATCCATTTGGATCTCATGTTTGAAGATGTCCAAGTCTCACCATGTGTCCGATGTGTCACCCAATTTTAAAGTGAGAGCTCAACTGGTGGCTTGGTGAAAATGTCCAAGTGGCAGTTGGGCCCCTAGAGTTGGAGCTAGGACCGCTAGGATCAAGGATCCAACGTGCAAAAATGTGCAAAATCATCAGAGCTTGCTGTGCAATGCTGTGCACCTTGGGATTTTTGCGCAGAATCCACTGAATCCACCGGGAATTCGAAGGATCTTTTGGATCTTTTGGATCTTTTATGATCTTTTTGGCGGAGTCTTAGGCAAAATGTTGGAACATGGAACAATAGCACTGAAGCTGAAGCTGACCAGCTGACAGATCATCTAAATTGTCCTGAGTCGGTTTTGAAGCTTTCTGATCACCGATTCAAGCAGTTTTAAATTGTTGAGCATGTTTGCAACTTTTCTTTCGTGGCAACATATGTCAATATCCATAAACACATTGCAAATACATTTTTACACACATATATTAAATAATATAATATATCACATATATCACATATAACATATCAATATCAGAATATCTTGACATTTTTCTATCCCTTGGCCATTCAGCTTCCATGGCCGGGGTGGCCAGGGATCGACCTGAGTTCCGACTGTCGCCATTTTGGATCAGGGGAAGGAGTGGAACGTGGCAGCGCAGGCTGTGAACGACTCAGTTTCGACAGAACAGTTTTGAAATTTTCGGAGGAAATTTCGGAGAGATGGTGTGGAAAGTCACTCATGGGGTAGATTGATGTAGATTGGACATGATTGGACACTTTAGCAGTGTGAGTTTTGGGATGTCTTGGGACAGGGGACCATTGTGGCGATCTTTCTCATATTTAAAAATTGTTTAATGCCCATCACAGGTATTCACAGGTAACATCAGGTCACCCTACCAGTACCAAATCTGAATCCGCTCTAGGCGGGCCAATATGGCCATGCAGTTTGACCCTCGAGATCGATGCCTACACATTTGCATGCTGGGCGATGCTGGCATCGGGCACTCGTCCTTTCTGAAATGCTATGGCGCTCAAGCTCAAGCAGGTGAAAATGCCGAGGACTCGGTGACTCGGTGACTCGGGAAAGCAATGGAAAACATGTTGCATTCAAAACATTCAAACAAGGTCAACACTTTTCTGGCCCTGTATTTTGAAGGACTTACATAGACGTTACATTGTTACATAGACAAACCCTGCCCATCCCTGTAGCTCCAGCCATTTTAGGGCAGGCTTCGGGTTTTGTGAATCCCATCGTGCACACATGGCAAGCGGAGGACTTCAGCTTTATGCCTGACAAGCCCCTCTGTAGTCTGCAAAACCTGGTTCACCTCTCAGAACTGGAGAGAAAGCACTCGCATTTGTCATCATTTTCACCAGTTATAATAACAGTTATAACATGTTATAACTGGAGTTATCGCCAGTTGTTTCATCTTGTGAAGATATGTGAAGATGGCAGCTATGCGACGTGATAGACTGCATTGGCACATCGAGGTCGCCATGGTGGAGCTTGATGGAGAGCCCTGCCGGGTGCGATTTACCGACGAAGCTTCAGGACGGGACCGAACGGTGGTGGAAACATGTGGAAAGCTTCGTGAAAGACAATCTGAGCCTTCATCAAAGATCACGGCAGATCGTTTCTTGCCATTTAAATTTGATTTTCTCAAAGGAAACGGGAATGGCAACAAAAAAAAACCTGGCTCCTGGCCATCCCTGGCCATTACCAACTTGGAAACGTGGAAAAGCGCCTCTCCTTCCGCGAGACGATGCGAAGCATCGAAGCATCGAAGCATCTCGACGTGCGACGGCCGTGCTGCGCAGTCCATGCGCCGATGATCCGGTCCTCGGTGACCGCGTTTTCCACACGTGGACGGAAAAACCGCCCCGGGCCCGGCGGGCCCCGGGTACGCTACCATTGGATTTTCTCCAGTGGAAACAGTTGCAAAAGTTTCAAAGATTTCAGGCCTATGTTAATATATGTTGATATCAGATATATCCATATATATATATAGATAGATATCTTGATATCTTTTGGATTCTTTTGGTACATTCTGCTTCAGCGATTCCCCACAATCCTCGCAACACAATCAACACATGTGTTGGGGAAGCGGAGCTTTTGTGGAGCCGTCGTTTGGTCCCCACATCCTTGAGCAGATGCTACGGGTGAATCTTTGTGAAGCCATGCGTGGCATTTTTTTTGCGAAAAATGGGTTTCCACGATGGAGTTGGGGACAGTTGGGGACAGTTGGGGCGTAGGCCCAGCAAGACGTTGCGAGACTTTGGTTCCGCATGGTGCCGCCAGGATCCAAGTTTGATGCCATGAGAGAAGCCGCTATCCATGCCGCTCACGTGACGGCCTTAGTTTCGGCGCTATATGTCGTGCATTTGCTGGCAATGCGCGGACTTGTGCCCCATGGTTCCCCCTGTGATTCAGGTGCACATGTTGTGCTTCCGAGCAGACCAGCCGGAGACCTTCGCTAGCATCAGGCAGCAATGGCTGTTCCATGCTCAGTGGCTGTGTCTATCGGTCGGGATGAATCACTATGAACAATATCTGCCACCTTCAGCACGTTGTGTCACATGAACCATGGGTTGCGTGATATGTTGGCTGCAGTGAAGGAATATGAAGGAATCAGATCATGACTTGAGTGATTTCAGGCCAACACTTTGGGAGATGCAAGCTGAAGCCCCCTGGCTGCTGGTTGCATTAGCGGCAGACGTTCGAGAGCGGAACAAGGCCGGTGACAACGTGATGAACATTTTATTTTACAAGCACAAAGAAAAGAGAGGTGAGAAATAATGAAACAACGATGTACTGTTTCTCTAAAAATCTGGCGAGAGAGAAAGTTGTACAAAATGCAATGGTCGCAGGATGTGGGAATATAGTAGATACTTAGTCTAGTAGATATGAATAGATAATAGATATAATATATATATATTTCTTTATCCCAATTGCAGTTCTGACATGCTAGACTTCGTCAATGTCGGAGGTGACTGGTGACGTCAACTCGGTGTCACACCCAGCGTCATCAGAGTAGCAGTCCTGGGTTTGCTCCAGATGCGGTTCTTTCCACAGATGACATCCAGCTGATTGATATCTATGGACAACATTGGATAACATTGGACCGGTATAGTGGCCAGCATAGGTGCCATAGGTGACAGATGACAGATGATGACTCTGGCAGGTCCCTCAAGAAGAGGCAGAGGAACTGGTGAAGCGCAGCTGTCTCAGTGTTTGCGAAGATGAGGTTACTTATAGACAAAGTCATAGTTCCTAGTAGCTTAGCGATAGATAGACTGGTGGACATGTAAACACACAAATACGTAATATATATACAGGATATAGTACACACTATATATATATATGTATATACAGCACACACATATATAGACTGACTATGTGCACACTTTTGATAAAGTTCTGTGACTTTTTGTGGCTGCGGATGGCCACCGAGGTTTTGGTGGTTGGGGCTACTTAGAATGCTCCGCCTTTTTTCCTGAGACGGTTCAGATGGTCGTGGATGAAGCCCTGACTGCAGCCTACACTTATTACAGGCACTCCGATAACTCGGCAAAACAATGAGAGAGTCATGGCAGAAACATCACCATGTAATTAGAGAGAATTAAAAAGATGAAATTGAGAATATTGAGATTGGACAGTTTACTTAGTTTACTTTGACGTTTAATGCTTAAAGAGAGTGTCGACAGGTGCGCATTCCATGCGTGTTTTCCAAACCACGAGGCTCCAGTGGCAACTTCATCCTCCTGAAGTGGCTTCACCACCCAGGAGAGGGTTGTGAGGCAATTCCATCATGGATCCGCTGGATCCGGGTCCGGAAACAAATCGATACAAATCGTATCATATTGTTATGATACATCGGATACAGTGTGGAAATGTGTGGAAAAAACAATTTCAAAAGTCCCCAAAATATCCAAAATCATAATTTTTATATATTTTTATGGGTATAGAAGTTATATCAGCGATCCCCGAATCCGCAAATGATGGGTTTGCGATGGCGATCGATGGCGTTTGGGAAGGACTGCAGGCGACACCAAGGCTTCATGGACGGCTGCACCTGAGGAAGGCTATGAAAGGCTGCGGGGAAGCACAGTTTTTTTTCACATATCTCAGAATATCTCGAATATCTCAGAATGGAAGCATACAACATCATGTAACAAATGTAGGGTGATGCTGACAGGTGAAGCCAGGTGAGACATCAGATTTTGGTGATTTGGACATATTTCTAGACTTTTTGATGCTGTAAATTACTTGTAAGCTGTATAATGATAGAAATCTGCATGTTAGCATGTTAGATTTGTGAAATCCGGGTGATGTTGCGAGCTTCTGAGGTGGTTGCCACATGAGACACTTACAGTGGCTGATGATCACGTCCCAGTGACAGAGGAGCCCACCCCGTTCAGCGGAGCTGTAGTGCTGTAGTCTAGTGACTAGTGACTCTAGTGACAGTGGAGCCATGAGGATCAGATCAGAGAAGGTCTTTCACAATTGGGTGACTCCTGTACCAGACAACATGCCTACGTCCGGCATCAGCCTCAAACGAATCGTGCGTGTTTTGTTCATTTTTGTTCCTCAAACCGCATTCTCCATGACCGCAAGATATCGTAAGATATCGCAAGTGAGCCATCGCTTAGGTGCGACCTGATGGCGATGAACTTGACTTCCCTGGTGAAGATTAGACAGTGGGACCAGCTACAATTTCTGAATGCCCCAGCCACAGGATGCGAATTGAACAAGTTCCGGAGTAGCATTTCACATTTGAAACATTTTGAAACTTTGAAACGATTCGATTGGTCGAAACATGTCGAAACGGTTCATCTTGGTCATCTAGATTTCTGGCCAGACGCTCATCGCTCTGAGGTGTCCAGAAACAGGCTACAGAGCTTGGAACCCCTTGGAGCACTGAGACATTTGCTGCACCTCAATGCTTCACACAATCTCCTGATCAGGACTCATGGAGCATCATGGAGCTGTAACGCTGTAACAAAACTGTCACAACGTAAAATTATAACAATTCATAGCAATAGTGGTAATAGTGGTAATAGTGTGCCTGGCACATGAATGTACATGAATATAAATGAATATAGATGATACAAACTGACATTGACGTACAAAAATATGCGCTGAATGACATAGTGCAAAATCCTAAGAGAAATAGTGGTCATGAGTGGCTTCTAATTATCCATTATTATCAACTATTATTAGACTACTGTCAATGATTTTCTATACCTTTGATGATCCCACCATTACACCCCAGCAATCCCCATATGTTGGGTCCAAGCCGCCAGGAGTGAAAGCTTCACAGCCCCAGACGCCTTGGAGACTTGCGACATGTCCTACAACATGTTGGCTGAACTGGGAGATTGGAAAGTTCACCGCTACCTGCGCGAACTGAACTTACGTGCCTTGAATCATCTTGAATCACATTGCCTACAGGCATCCACTGGATCATTGCCAAAACATGCCAAATCTTTGATCATCTTTGATCCATTTTATTATCCATATTGTCCATTAGTTTGGTTTCATAGCTGTGAAGACAAGTCAGTAAGATTCTGTCCATCTATTGAATCTATTGTTCCTTCTAGTTCCATCTAGTTGGTTTGTTTGAGACATTTTGAGACTAGTTTAGCAATGCTATGAGACACTAAGGCGGAAACTACATCAGCTATGTGGGCAGTGGTTTGAAGGGCAATCATGAGCTGCGGATGTTGGATTTGTCGGAGAATTTCATTTCCAAAATGCAGCAGAATTTGGATGATTTGGAGTTGCGCACTTTGAACTTGGCCCAGAACAAGCTCAGTTCCTTAGAAGGCTGGGCACATGGCACAGGACACCCAAAACAATGGGACAACAGTCGTGACACCAAGTGACACGCTTGTCAAGAACAAGACATCTCCATTGTGTGGTTTAGTATTTAGTCCATTCATGTCCATTCCTACTTGTGTGGTTTAGAATGATTTCAAAATATCGTCATATACTACTCAAGGGTTGATAATTGATGATAATTCAATGAGAATTCAATGATAATTCATTTTTTGTCGATTCCACATTGTGGACGATGGGAACCCAAACAGAAAATGTTGAAGTGAAAAGGACCTGAACATATGGTTACTTGATCAAGTTTTATTTGCGGGTCAGGGTCGTTTGACCCGGAAGTGAACTTGAGCCATTTTGGATGCAGGTCAGTAGACGCCGATGTTGTTATTGCTACCAAGACTCCTGTACAAAACGGAATCTTTGAGAGATTAGGTTAATGTGAAAAGTAAAACGCAGATCAAATGTGACTCTGAAACTCAGACTCCGCAAGAAAAGATGAAGAACAACCAGATATCATCGGATAGCACTGTGCGTGCATATTGCAGGTGTGCAGCGTCTCTCCAAGCTGCACTGCCTTGACGTCCGGCACAACCACCTCACCTCCATCTCGGCTCTGAAAGCCGAGGACGGCAGCGAATTCAGTATATCGATGTATATCGTATATCCAACGTCTTCAACACCAATCAGAAGATAATCAGACGGCAGAAGTTTTGCGCCCTTTTTTTGATGTGAACATTTCGACAGCTGAACACTTGCTACCCCGTGAGGACATCCCTCGGCTTCGCAAGCTGCGTTTGTCTGAGAATCGCATCTCGCAGATGAGGCAGGATCACAACATATCACAACAGCCTCGGAATGAAGAACATGAAGAACTGGCGCATACGGGCACCATCCTTTTGTTTGATGTTGTGGCATGTTGTGGCGCAGTGGCACTGAGACTTTCTGTTGATCCTGTATGATCCTGTACGATCCTGTTATCTGTTATCTTAGCATGAAATTCCCAGGGAAGTGGATCAATTAGCCAGCTTCGCCTTCCTCAGCGAGCTCTACATGCATCCAAATCCTGTGTGAGGACCCCAGCGGCGCCTGACAAATTATTTGCATCTCTGAGGAATGATTGGGATGACTCCAATAATTATGGGGAAGATGATGACAACCCATTGACAAATCATTGCGTATCATGGGGTCTTGTGGTATATTAATTTATATGCAATATATATATAATATGATTTACCAATATTATATATATATATGAATATATGAATAATAAGTATATTTTTTTTTTAATTGTAACACACCCACACACACACACATATATATAGAGATGTATAAAGTATATCGTAGCCCATGTGCCACCAAATTGAAGACATGCCCGTCGCTTTTTCGAAACTTCCGTCAGGTCTCAGTTGCCGCAGTACCGTGCGCAAGTTCTGCATCGCTTGCCTCGTCTCAGACAGTTGGACAATCAACAGGCGGGTGATTACCCGGAGAAATCCCAATGGCATATGGCTGGCACCCAAGTGGATGTGGAATGGTTGTTTATTGACAAAAAACTTAAATGAAGTGTTTATTTGATCTTTTATTTGCTAATGTTCTGATGGGACAAATATTGGTGAAATATGATGAAATGATGTTTCATCCCAAGTGCCATGAAAGAAGAAAATCGATGCAGGTCACGCCCGAGGAGCGTGTGAAGACAGAAGTGATATATGGCCTGATCCTCGGGTGAAGCGGCGCGGCCATGGGCCACTGATTTTTTGTCCACAGATTCTGGATCACATTGTCCCTTACCCGTCAGACACGTCAGACCCATCAGACCCATTCAGTTCTTGTATGTTTTCAATTGTTGGTTGACATTGAGCCCCAAAAAAAATGTGATATAAATACATACCTGATATATATATAATATAATATATGCCATGCACATATTGACATGTAGCGTTATACTTGGCGGTTATCCAAGTGTCGACATTTCACTGGTGCGGTTTTGGGAATGCTTGGGAATGCTTGGGATCTCGGGACGGGTTGGACGTGGTGGACGTGGCAGGTGCTGACGTGGAGACGCGGCAGGATATTTTTGAGCAGCTGCTGCCGGAAGAGACCTTTGTAGATCGGAGGTTGATGACAGAGGCTGGTGCATGGTGCATTGAGTACTGAGTAAAAAAGTATCGTCACTTGTACTGGTTGCTATATGATCTAAATGCTATTATTGATTGATGGTTTCCATATGTTTCAAACATTTGCAGCTACATGCGAAATATGTGTTAGTCTTGGATGATTTCTAATTGACAAATGTTTTTTCTTTGGGGGTGAAACCACCAAACAGATGAGGGTTGGACGGATGCTAGGTAACCTCTACCTTACTGTCTTTGTCAATGAGGATGGAGCGTTAATAGAGAGCGGCATCCAATGAGACATGCATAAATTGAATGATATTTGGATGATGCATAGATGAATGGCACCAATGGTACAAGGGTAAATGTTACCAGTCAACACTGGTCGACACTGGTCGACACTGGTCGACATCAGGCGCTGATTTCGCAGCTGGAAGTGGAGCAGTTCGGACGCAACGGCGATGCTGGGCCCTTCGGCTGTGAGCCCAACTCAGATCCGACCTATGGAGATCCTCCCAGGACATCTCCCCTCCCACGCATTAACGTACGATCCACACACTTCAAGTAGTCATCAAGTAGTCAATACGATGTCCATACGATGTCAATACGATGTCTGAGAACCACCACAGTGGTGACAAACATGCCAATGAGTTGCATGATGAATAGGGTGGAGGGAGGGAGTACGTTCTATAGTATCCCCGTTGGATATCATTCTATGTTTTGGGTGGGGTTGGGCCCGGCATTTCATAGAATGGAGTGTCTCAGATTAGGCACTCATACCACGTTTTGTTCAGTGTGTGCTTTCTGTGTTGGCTTGATGCACGATCAATTCTCTCTAATTCTCTTCTTCTATCTCATTAGTATTATACTGTATTTTCTCCTACGCTGCAAATCTTCAAACCTCGGACCTACATGGCTACCTACATCTCATCGAAGAAATCAAAGGTCTGCTGTGACCACCTTACTTGATGCACGGGGCCTCTGCTGGCCTCTTCTCGCCCTGCCATCGGAACAAGGCTACTGCAGCACCGATGACTAGCAACTGAAAGAATGGCGAATGAAAACATTGTCTGTCCTTTTTTGGCACATGCTTCGGCTCTTTGGGCTTTGGCTTCTCTTCAGAGTTGCCACCCTGATCATTTTGGCTATGGGGCAAGCTGCGCAGCAACGAGATTTTTCCATATTTCTCCATCTTCTATCATTTTCTCACACTGTTTTTAATTAAGCTCGGGGGCATATGTTTACCCTTTTCAATCTCCAAGCGCCACACCAGAGCCACATGACTGCCTACATCTCATCGAGAGAACCAAAGGTTTGCTGTGACCACCTTGGAATGCAGTACTCTCTGCATATCTCTGCCTCGTCTCCTCGCAAAGGCGCGGCAGATTCAGCCTTATGCGTTGGGGATGGCCCAAGCTGCCAACCAGCAATGTCAAGCAGCAACTGTATACACAGCAATGGTATTGTCCCATAACACCTGCCATGAACTGCTATCACTTGTTAAAATTTGCTCTCAACATGCGTTGGCTGCCAAGGAGCATCAGTCACGACATTCCCACTCGAAAGTGGTTGCGATTTTTCCTGCCAGGCCATGCCGGGACGTGTTAAAAAACATGCGCACAAAGGATTTCTGCCCAAGTTATCTTGTTAGAAACTCTTGCTTGGTGTTGCTTGGCAAGATCCGGGTAGGAAGGACTGATTGGCAAAAACTCTGTGCTGGATCTCTGTACAAGATCCCTATGAGAGACCTCCTGGCAAGATGCAAGATCTCTGTGGGAGCTCTCTAAACAAGATCTCTTGGCAAAAACTCTGTGAAAGATCCCACATGGGACACTATCTCTATACCCGATCACTATGAGAGATATGCACCAACCTCTCAACAAGATCTATTTGAGAGACGACTTTAGCAACGTGCACAATGCACGTTGCACCGTTGCACCGGTGATCACCAGAGTCCTGCACCTGTCACTTAAAACAAAGTTTCGGACCCCTAGTTTTCAAAATCCATTTTGCACCTAAACCGTTTGAGGTCGTTTGAGCATATAGGTCCAAAAAGGGGCACAACACGCAGGTATACGCAGGTAAAAGTCGACCTTTGGATGATTTCGGTTGTGCAGGTCCAGTGGCCATCTGCGACCCACCCCTTTTACACAAATTGTCAATCGATGTCAAGCGAACTGGGCATCCAGGATTCCAAGGGGAACGTGTATGTGAGACTAAGACTTCACTATCAAAATGACCGAGATGGTCCATGATGTCCAGCCGCAACCCTTATGGCACCACGATTCAGACACCATGCCTTACTGTTGTCACACTGTTCGGGGGAAAATGTAAAAATAACTGCATTGATCTGCGTTGGAAAGTGCCATACGTAAATTCAGAAAACAAAAGGCATTGTGGCGCAGCAGACCTGCATAGACCTGCATGCTCAACAAATTCAACCATGTCCACCGAAATATGGGCAAAGGGTGCTAGAAAATCTAGGAGACAATCACCATGTATCACCATACATGCTCTGGTTGGAAGATGTTGAAAGAATCTGAAGGAGAAGCCCTTGTCAGCCTTCTCTGCTCCGTTCTTTTCCAAGATGCACTGCTCGGTCCTGCAGCTGTCTGGGCGGAACTAATCTATAGGACTCCCATGGTTTCACAAGGACTCACAAGGTCTGGGGTCACTAAACTGGAACAAGGATTGTTATATAATGGTGCATGGCCCGCTTGCAGTGACAACCAGTCATCATTTTCATTTACATCCTTTGCACGGAATGCGTGAGCACGTACATATGAGGATGCAAAACGGCAATTGCGTCGCGCACGACCATGCACAACCTCTTTCAGTCCTTTTTCTTTTTTGCTTCTGCGGTTTGCGCCTTGCCTTTGTCCTGTCCTGCAGGAAGTGGCTGATGAATGCCGTTGGACAGCAGGTGTGATGTGAAAAGTAGGCAGAAACCATTTCAATACTGAACTGGTTGCAAAAGCCATCACATACAATCAGCAACTGCAAAATGTTGCCAAGGCTATGTGTGAACGGAGCTTCTTTCGGCATGTTCTGTGATATACTGTTCTCTACAAAAATCACGATTCATGGGCTTCAAAGTATATCAATTAAAATCATGAAATATCATGGCATATGTTGAAGAAGCGTCTCCTGCAGCAACCAGATTCACTGCCAGCTCCCCCTTAAACGCAGCGATCGGCCGCCGCGATCGCAGCACCAACACCGGATTGTGGGCAGTGCTTAGCTGCCATTCTGCCTCAAGCACACATACCTTTAAACAGCCTGGGATGTCGGACAGCTGGTCCATCAGGTGCAAGTTGCACGCCGCATCTATCTATCTATCTATCCATCCATCTATCTATCTATCTATCCATCCATCCATCTATCTATCTATCGATCGATCTATCGATCTATCGATCTATCTATCCATCGATCTATCGATCCATCGATCTATCTATCCATCGATCTATCTATCCATCGATCTATCTATCCATCGATCTATCTATCCATCTATCCATCTATCCATCTATCCATCTATCCATCTATCCGTCTAGCTATCTAGCTATCTAGCTATCTAGCTATCTATCTATCTATCTATCCATCCATCTATCTATCTATTTATCTATCTATCTATCCATCCATCCATCCATCTATCTATCTATCCATCCATCTATCTATCGATCTATCGATCTATCGATCTATCGATCTATCTATCGATCTATCGATCTATCTATCCATCGATCTATCTATCCATCTATCCATCTATCCATCTATCCATCTATCCATCTATCCATCTATCCATCTAATCTAATCTAACCTAACCTAATCTAATCTAATCTAATCTAATCTATCCATCCATCCATCTATCCATCTATCTATCTAATCTAATCTAATCTAGTCTAGTCTAGTCTAATCTAATCTACTCTACTCTAATCTAATCTAATCTAGTCTAGTCTAATCTAATCTAATCTAATCTATCTATCTATCTGCAAGCTTGAAAACTAAGCAATCCTGCGAGACTTCCTTAATTTTTGAACGTAACAACATCCAAAACGAAATAATTCTGAGAGACGTCCTCTATTTTTGAACATGAGAACATCCAAAACGAATCAATTCTGCGAGACTTCTTCACTTTTTAAACTTGACAACATCAAAAACGAAGCAATTCTGCGAGACTTCCTTCAAAAATGGAAAGTTGAGTGCAGCGCTGACGGCCTCGTACCAATGCGTTGTGCGATTTTTCCACTCCACCTGTCGAAAGCACCGCGCCTGCCACGAAAAATAGATGCCAGGTCATACGAAGTGCTGCACCTGTCACGCAAAATCATCTTAGGAAATCGACATATCTGATGCTCCAAAATGCAACACCTCTCAGGAAATCAGCGCCCTGACCTCCTAACATCTCTGATGAACATGTCTCTCGTACTGCACCTGCCAGGCGAAATGCATCTTTGCAGATCCTATTCAAATGTCCCACGCCTGCCATCATTTTTGAAAATGCTACAAAACCGTTACGTTTTGCTCACTTTTGACACGGTGCACAATCCCTTGCGCCTGCCACACGAAACGAGATCTGAACGTCCGTCCGAACCCCTGGTGATTTTAACATTTTGACTTGGAAATGTGCTTCGCGCCACAGCGGCGAAATTTTTTTCGACATCGCAACTTCGAAAAATGTATATATATATATATTCAAAAAGAAAGTAGGCCAGCTAGGTTTCAAACATTGAAAAAAAAACATATGGGAATGTCTCCAACTGAGGTATCCGTTTTTCCCCTTAAAGTAGCTATTTTGGAACCAAAAACGGACACCTCATCTTGAAACATATCCATGGAGAAAGAAGTAACATTTATAACTTTTAGATAAATTGAATCCTTGAGCATCAAAATTAGAGATGATTTCACAACACCTCTAGGAAATTCTGCCATCGGAAATAAGATAATATAAAAAAAACACAGCAAACCACCATACAAAGAAAAACAATACATTATTCCAAAATTCTTTTTGTGTCCAAACCTGTTTTTCAGAATGTATGACAGGAAAATCCTTCGTCTATGATCAATTCTGAACCTTCAAAAATATATTTAAAAATAAGTTAAAATAAGTGAAAATAAGTAAAAATCAGTTCTATGATAAGTTCAAACAACTATTAATATTTTCATTAAGTGCCTGAAGTGAAAATATCGTCACTTTGGGGTCACAGCAGGGACATCAACCTTGTCTTCCACTACCTCCAGCCAGCGAAGGTAGGATGCAGGAAACTGCGGTGGCCAGCTCTGTGCTTCAAGCCACTTCGCGAAGTCCTGACAGCACACAGCTAAAGACAAATTGCGGCGGCAGCCATCATTCCAATGGAGAATCAATGGAGAATCTTCAAAAAGCAAATGGGGTTTAAAGTGTGCCCTGCTCAAAACGTGGCACTGCAGCGAGAACTGACAAAATAAAAAAAAAATATAGTGATTTTCAAGTTGTTTAAAGCGTGGCCCACTCAAAGGAATTTTCATCACATTTGGGAAAAAAGATGAACGAAAAGACCAACAGGAAAACTAGCGAAACCTGGCACTTGTGTGATCCCCTGCCGGGGGATCGCGCAAGTCAGCATCGCAGAGCGCAAGTGGTGAGCAGAAAGTGTGGATCTGAACGTCTGACTTGTGCCATCGAAAGGGCACTTGTGTGATCCCCTGCCGGGGGATCGCGCAAGTCAAGAACATCCATTCTTTTGAGCCACTCTTAGGGGGGTGTCCGCGTGAGGGGGGTGTCCTCGCGAGGTCTGGGGGGAGAAGACTTAAGAGGTAGAGGACGGGGCGGAGGGGGGGGGAATGGGGGAAGAACGGGGAGGAAGGAGGGAGGAGGGGGAGGAGGGAAGAGGAAGGAAGGGGAGGACGAGTGGCTCGAAAGAATGGATGTTCTTGACTTGCGCGATCCCCCGGCAGGGGATCACACAAGTCCGAGGGGGAGGGGGGGTAAGGAATGGGGGGAAGAAGGGGGAGGAGGGGGGAGGAAGGAGGGAGAGGAAGAAGGACTCCCTCATCCCCCTCCTCTCTCCAAAATGCATCTTCCCCCATTCCTTCCCCCCCAATCCCCCTCCCTCCCCCTCCACAATCCCCATCTACATCTTAAGTCTTCTCCCCAGACCTCGCGAGGACTCACGCGGACACCCCCCTAAGAGTGGCTCAAAAGAATGGATGTTCTTGACTTGCGCGATCCCCCGGCAGGGGATCACACAAGTGCCCTTTCGATGGCACAAGTCAAACGTTCAGATCCACACTTTCTGCTCACCACTTGCGCTCTGCGATGCTGACTTGCGCGATCCCCCGGCAGGGGATCACACAAGTGGCCAGTTATGGCCAGCAATGGTAATTTCAATCTCGTTTTGGGGTATGCGTGGCTTCGACCATAAACATTTCCAAAAATCCATAAACCAGTATACATCATACATCCCTTCATATCCCTTCCTATTATTGCATATTATTTCCTATTTCATCTCCCGGCCTCGCACCATCCAGGAACGAAAAATCCAGGAACGAAACTCTTCACTGGAATAAAAAGAAACAGCAAGATGCCCCAGTGTTTCAACTATTGAATCTGGAAATCAGCTCGGACCAAATATTGTCGCTTTCAACATCAGGGCAGGGGTATGTTTGAATCAGAAGCAGGCGCGCACATTGCCTTCCAACATCCCCTACAAAGATTTCAAAACCAAAGGGTTCTTTTGGCCCAATGTTGACTGGAATGGGTTCGCTACTTGAGAGGGGGTAGGCGAAAGGTAGTAGGTAGAGAAACAAAGCGGGAGCAATGTGGAGGAAGGAAGAGGGGATGAGAAGGGAAAGAAGAAGAAGAAGAAGATGATGATGATGATGATAATGAGGAGGAGGAGGAGGAGGAGGAGGAGACAGGAGGAGATATATAGGAGGAGATATATAGGAGGAGATATATAGGAGGAGATAGGAGGCTATAGGAGGATGAAGGAGGATGAAGGAGGATGCAAAGTCAAGCACCTAAAACCTCCCTATAACTATATCCTGCAAAGTCAGGACTGGTAGTCTCCAAAGTAGAGAACCCATGGATTACAATGAATATGAGTGAGCTCTAGTCCAAATTTTTCCATACAACTGAGGGACTAGATCTCCAGCTAGTGTCTCTACTGGCATTGCACCTTCGCATCCACTGCTTCTTCTCGGGCATCTTTCATCTGTTCATCTTGAAGAATGGCAGCCAGGCGTCAACAAACATAAATTCTCACCAACTATGCAACCAACTCACTGGAAAAACAGGCTTTCAAGCAAAGTGAGAACTAGCAAGTCCATAATTTTCTAGACAACTGAAGGACTGGATCTCAAACTAGTCTCGTTACTGGCACTGCACCTTCGCATCCACTGCTTCTTCTGGGGCATCTTTCATCTTGTCATCCTGAAGAATGGCAAACAGGCGTCAACGAGCATATATTCTCACCAACTGCAGCCACAAGCGGATATGCAGAGAGGCAGCACATGGCAGCATATGCAGCCAACTCACTGGAAAATAGGGCTTCAAGCAAGTTCATAATTTTCTAGACACCTGAAGGGCTGGATCTCAAGCTAGTCTCGTTACTGGCACTGCACCTTCGCATCCACTACTTCTTCTCGGGCAGCTTTCATCTTTTCATCCTGAAGAATGGCAGCCGGGCGTCAACAAACATGAATTCTCACCAACTGCTGGCAAAAGCGGATATGCAGAAATGCAGCACACGGCAGCATATGCAGCCAACTCACTGGAAAACAGGGCTTCAAGCATAGTGAGAACTATCGAACGGCCAATTGAAACAAACGGATGACACACTAGCAGACACAAGAAATTCTGTTGGCTCCTGTGCGCTCACCGCCTGTTCTGAGACAGTCTTTTCTTCCTGGAGGGTTGCCACAACAGGAAGACACGCAAGCCACCCACAAGACACGACACCGGCCCACCCCGCATCCATGTGCGCGAAGGGACACAGGCGCGCACATACTGGACGCGCTGCCATTCCTGTGCACATGCGCGCAAAAAACGTGCGCGCAGCAGTTCCCGGCAAGTTGCCGCTAAATGCACAATCCTGCACCACGAAGCTACACTGACCTTAAAGCTTGCCAAGCAATCAAAACCCATCGTAGGATTCCAAGTTTGGAAACAGGCCCAACTAGCAAATGCGCGCCGACGGTGCGCGCGCAGAGACATATGCGCGCACATACTGAACGCGCACATGCGCGCAAAAAAAAACGCGCGCAGCTAATCCCAGCAAGTTGCCGCTAAAATGCACAAACCTGCACCACGAAGCTATACTGACTAATTATGCTGACAAAGCTTGCGAAGCAATTAAAAGCCATCGTAGGATTCCAAGCTTGGAAACTGCGCGCGCACATGCGCGCACATACTGGAGGCGCTGCCATTCCTGCGCACATGCGCGCCAAAAACACGCGCGCAGCAGATCCCAGCAAGCTGCCGCCAAATTGCAGAATCCTGCACCACAAAGTTAGTAATAATAGAAATATTGTATATTGTATATATAATCGAATAATGCTGCCAAAGCTTGCCAAGCAATGAGAACCCATCGTACAGGATTCCAAGTTTGCAAACTGGCCGAACTAGCATATGATGCATATGCTTGCCGACAGTGTGCGCGCAGAGACACATGCGCGCACATACTGGACGCGCTGTCATTCCTGCGCACATGCGCGCAAAAAACGCGCGCGCAGCAGATCCCAGCAAGCTGCCGCCAAAGTGCACAATCCCGCACCACAAAGCTAGTAATAGTAATAATAGTAATTTGATTCAATAATAATTGTGCCAAAGCTTGCTAAGCAATGAGAACCCATCGTAGGATTCCAAGTTTGAAAACTGTCCCAACTAGCATATGCGCGCCGACAGACTGGACGCGCTGCCCTTCCTGCGCACATGCGCGCAAAAAACGCGCGCGCAGCAGATCCCTGCACCCGGCCGCCAAAATGCACAATCCCGCACCACGAAGGTGGTAATAATGATAGTATGATCCAATAATGGTGCCAAGGCTTGCTAAGCAATGAGAACCCATTCTTGGAAACTGTCCCAACTAGCATATGCGCGCCGACAATGTGCGCGCAGGGACACATGCGCGCACATGGACGCGCAGGACACATGCGCGCACATACTGGACGCCCTGCCATCTTCCTGCGCACATGCGCGCAAAAAACAAGCGCGCAGCATTTGGAAACTGTCCCAACTAGCATATGCGCGCCGACAGTGTGCGCGCAGCTACACGCGCACATGTGCGCACATACGCGCACATACTGGACGCGCTGCCATTCTTGCGCACATGCGCGCAAAAAACACGCGCGCAGCCAAAGTGCACAATCCTTCACCATGAAGCTTTACTAATATTGACCATTTAATGGTGCCAAACCTTGGCAGGCAATCAAAACCCATTGTATAGAATTCCAAATCTGGAAACATTGGAAGCAAGACAAAACTAGCACATGCGCGCAGACAGTGTGCGCGCAGGGACACTCGCACGTGCGCGCACATACTGGACACGCTGACATTCCTGGGCACATGCGCGCAAATAGCGTGCGTGCAGCAGATTGCGGCAGATCATTGCAAAATATGCAAAGATGAACAATTTACATGTTGATCCCATCTTCCCTCACCAGCATTAAATCTTGCGGCTGCCCTACCGAAAAGGTTGGCCAATGCACCTGGCACAACCAGAACGATACCCAATCCATTCTCAGTGTCACGGAGACGTGCCTACAGTTCAACTAGATACTTCACATCATGCAGCTTGTATGCTGAGATATTTCTGAAAGAGTTCATGCTGCAAGCAGCTTTTTCTCCCCATGCGGTCGCATTCAGTCCGAATGCACGCCCTTCTTCAGTATGGTGAGTCTTCTCACCCGAGGCTTCTGCGGCGATGGCAGTGCACTTTGTGCAACCTCACGTTTGATCACTTTTTCCACCCGGGGCTTCTTCTGCGGCGATGGCAGTGCACTTTGTGCAACCTCACGTTTGATCACTTTTTCCACCCGGGGCTTCTTCTGCGGCGATGTGACTTCTGCAGCTGGACTTCGGCAGCTGGCTTTGGCATTCCATTTTGTTCTGCTTTCTCACCATCACGCTGCTTCTTCTTTTCACTCCAGGCGGCCCAGTTACTTTTTCCGGTCTTCCTTTTTGGAGGAGTTTTGTCTTGTTCCTTCAGGATTTCATTCCACAGCCTGGTGCTGATCATGCGGACCTCTTTGGCATCATTGAGGTGCTCCCCCAATACGGCGACCACTAGTTTTGTGAACTTTGCCTTGTCCAGGCCCCTTTCCATATTTTCCATGGCTGAATCGAATCAGCAGGAATAAACTCCGTACATGATGGGATTGAAATTAGATGCATCATGTCTGATCCCGTCTCGCCTGTGATTCCTGTCATTAGATAATTTGCTTTGATATATGTAAATCTGTTGATAGATGTTTGAGCATGTCTGGAGCCAGGCTGTCCATGAGAATCAATGGCCAGAAATCAGTAGAATGATGCGCCGCTTCACGGCACCTGATGAATTGATGGTATCCAGGCTCTCCAAGCATGAGCGACAAATATTAGATGTACAATGTTCAGCACATCGAATGCAGTCTTGGATCTCAACCTAGATCATGCTGTTGATCTAAAGAACACTACTTTACTTCGAGTGATCCCCACCCCGAGGCATAAATTCTGACATTGAATGGTCATTTGGAATGATATATTATGATATGACATATATATATATACAAATTAAAACACACATATATATATTCTGTCATTCTATTTGAAATTCTATCTCGCATTCTATCGGGCATTCTATCTGACATATATTTTGCCATTCTACATATTCTACCTGATATATTTTCTGACATTCTATCTGACACATCATCTGACATTCTATCTGGCATCCTATCTGACTGGGATATGGCGCTCGCAGTTGGGGTCCGGCAGTGCCCACTGAGCTCTGGAGCTCGCAGTTGAGGTCCGGCAGTGTCCACTGCGCTTCGGGTCTCGCGATTCGGGTCCGGGAGTACCCATTGAGATCTGGAGCTCGCAATTACGTCCGGCAGTGCCCACTGAGATCTGGAGGTGGGGGATGGCGAGGAGAAGAAGAAGGAGGAAGGAAGCAGCAGGTCAGCTCCTTGATAAAATCTAGTAGCCATCACTTGCAATCTGAATCTGCGGAATCATGGCACTTGCTGTACTATCAGTCGGAGGTTGCTGTACTATCATGGCACATCCACATTTCCCCGGGGTGAGAGAGAATTACCAATACACACAAAGATATATAATGGACATACACAATTTGAGGCGATGCACCTTGTGAAGAAAAATCAAATCATTGCGAAAAAAAATGCAAAATCAGACAAAATGCTGGCTGAATGTCGTTTTTGGCATCTTGGGTGAAGCAGGGGACCCCCTGGAAAAAGATCAATTTTCTTTTACACCAGCCAAAGGGGCAAACGATATTCCTTTCAAACAGGCAGGACCAGGCCTCGTTCCGAAACCACCACTGGTCAGAGAATAGAATGAGCCAGCAAATTGCCTTAGATATATATATATATATGTATGTATATATATATATGTATATATATATATTTATGTATATATATATATATATTTATATTTATATGCGGACATGTTTATTCTATTTTATGGAGATCCAACGTCACAGCTAATACCCAACGGTGATCTATAGTCGGGCTCAAAACTAGCCTGACAGAAAACTGGAATTTGATTCCAACCCAACTCGCGTTCAGCCATGGACGTTTTGCCCTCCGTAGATGAGGTTCAGGACGTTAGCACGGTGTCGGACGTGACGAGACTTTTGAGAGTGCCGGCAACAATTTGGGAAGCTTTCTTAGAGCAGGTTGGGAACCCGGGCCAAGACTTAAGGGTGGTGGCTGCCTTACCGGCGCACATCGTCGTGCAGGGCATTGGTCAGGCACAAGCTGCAGGAGTAGGGCTCTCCGCCATCGAGGCTGCACATGTGGGGTTAGTCTGGCGAGTTGCAAGGATGGTCATGTTCTTGAAGAGGGGCGGGGATATCACAAATTTTGAGGATGTGGATCCTTGGGTACCCAAAGACACTTCGAAATTTCCCGGACAAGCTCAAGGGCATGCGCCAAAAGGTAGTGGACTTAAAGAAAAGGTCCTGAAGATGTCCACGTTGCTGGATCAGACGGATGAGAGTGAGTTGATGCCACCTGATTTGCAGACCGTTCATTCTTGGTCGCAAAGATACCTCCAAATCATGGGGGACCATCCCATGGAAGAGGAGGAGCCTACGGATGCCCAAATGGCAGCGCTGGACAAGAGGGTGAACCAGTTAGGCCAGGCTCCCTATGTTGACATGGGAGTCTGGTTACCTTTTGGAAGACGCGCACTTCGCAACCAGAAGATGAGGGCTTTCTTCCCGGTGGGCGATGGAACCTTTGTGGCCAGGGAGTTTCCAGGACCACAAAACTTTTTGCAATGGCAAGCAAGCTGGAAGGTGTTCAAAGTGGCCGCAATTTCTTTGGACATCTGCTCCATTGCCTCCTTGCTCCTCTACGAGAAGGCCATCGAGAAGATGACGGTACAGTGGCCCAGGAATTGGGGGCTCATCGCACACGCTGATGACAAGGCCAGAGCTGAGCGTCTGGAAAGAGTTCGAAGGCAATTAGCAATGGACGTTAGGAACAACAAGAGTGTCCCGGCGGACTACAACGAGGATAAGCCATGGTCAGTGGTTTTCAGATTGGTGGCACAAGATGAAGGTTACTGGAACGATCAAGTTCGTCATCCAGCAACAGCATGGCTGGCATCGGGATCGAAAGGTGCCCCAATGGCATCGTCCGAGGCATTGGCCCTGGCGCACTTTCCTGGACTTGCTGAAGGACAAGAACCAGAAGTTGCAAGCAATGACAAGGATGAGAGAAGGAGGCAGGCCAACAGGGACAAAAGAGCGGCGAAGAAGAGACGAGCTCAATCTGACCGCGAAGAGTTGGCGAAATGGCGCAGCACGCCTTCAAGCGGAAAAGGAGCCGGAAGTGGGGGAAAAGGCAAGAGCAAGATGCAGGGCAAGGATCAGGCCGGAGAAGAAATCTGTTTCTCATGGGCAAAGGACAACGGGCCGTGCTCAGGGCTAAGTCCGGGGAGCGAATGTAAGGCCAAAATTAAAAGAGCACATAAGTGCCAGATTTGTTTGTCACCTGGGCATAACAATGCCCAGTGCCCGAAGAAGTGACCTTGAATCTGTGTGAAAAATCTTGGGTTTCTCCGTTGCAACCGCAATGGACTGCAGGAGCCCTGGTTAGGTTTTTCTGGGTTCAGAGGGAACGACAGAAGGGTCATGAATTTGGGGTTGAAAAATTTGGGAAATTTTTAAAATGACAGATTGACTTCAGTTGCATGTTGTGTTGCTTGGAACCTTGTGACGTTTTGCATTGCACGTTTATGTTCCGCAGCCCCCTTTTGCAGCATGAATTCAGCACCCAGCTCGTCCAGTTCAAAGGACACTTCATGTGGCTTGGATGCAGAATTGCCGGAACGAGTTGAAGAGTGTTTGAAAGGATGCGACACCTTTGGCAAGTTCAAAACGGAAAGGAAGTTTAGATTTTTGCATGTGTTTGCAGGGCCACGTGATGTGCTGGCAAACGCATTGAAGGAAGAATGTGATAGGGAAGGAATTCAGCTGGAAGTGGAGTCCTATGACAAGTTGATGGACTCGAAACATGACCTTTTGGCAGAACAACCTTTCACGGACATCCTGCAGAAAGCGAAGGCAGGGGCCTATGATGGTGGACACGCTGGCTTTCCCTGTGGCAGTTTTTCAAGGGCAAGGTACAACACAGAAGGAGAAGGACCTAAACCTGTCAGGTCTGGAGCTGAGATATACGGCCTGGCAACAAATAGCAAGGCTCAACAGCAGGAAGCAGACAGGGGCACCGTGATGGCAGTGAGATCAGCCATCATCATCAATGAGGTGGTCCAGAGTCAGAGGCGCAGATCAGTGCCAACGGCTGGAACGGTAGAAAATCCACCAGGCAGTGACACGGGTGAAGAGGGTCCGGCCTGGGCCCTTCCGGAGCTCATCTCCTTCGAGAAGGACCTGGGAGCGGTCACAGCTCTTTTCAACACCTGCGCGTACCAGTCCAAGGTGAAGTACAAGTGGTTTAAACCAGGTCGATTTACGGGGTGCCTAGCGGAACTGGGAACTTTGTCCAGGAAATGCAAGTGCCCTGGATGGAGCAAACATCAAGCACTAGTAGGCAAAGACATGACCTCCCGAGCAGTTGAATACCCGGAGGAGCTTTGCAGGGCCTACGCAGTGCTGGTGGTTAAGACCTTCAAAACCACGCTTCAAATGGAATGGTGGCGAGAGGCATTGAAAAGGAAGAAAGAGGAGGTCTCGGACGCCCAGGTGAGGTGGCTGGCAAGCAAAGGAAAGCGGCAACAGCCTCCAGCCAGAGCACAAGATCTTGAAGCGTCCAGACGTGTTTGGATGGCCGACAACGTGGAGATAAGCTCAGGACCAACAGAAGGGCCATCCAGAAAGAAGCGAAGAGAGGGCGAGAACGCTCACTTTGTGGGCGGCATGAGAAATCCGGCCAAGGCAGTCAGCAGGCTGAGCAAACTGGCAGATGCTGGACGTGACGTTCGCAGACTGTGGACGAGATTTGTGGCAGAACATCCACAAGCACTACGAACAGCAGAGGACTATGGTGGGGAGAACTGCCAACTTGACACGGACGTGTTGAAGGCTTGGACAGAGAGGATCGAGCACTTCTTGAAGGTCAAGGACTTTGAGGAAGTGGTGCTCAGGGGGCCAGGCAGATTTACATCACCCGTGAATGCAAGGCTTTTGGAGGCCTGGCGCAAGCATTCGGGAGACCCAGAGTTGGACCTAGTGGGATGGATTAGAGCTGGCACCCCCTTGGGCATGTCTGAAAGAATACCGTATTGTGGTATCTTCCCAATGACAGAAGATGAAGACATGGAGTTTGAGGAAATGCCGGACATGGAGGCCCAAATGGGTGCCGAGAACTACAAGAGCTTCGTGGAGGAGCCCGAACATGCAGAAGCTGAAATACAAAGGTATCTGGACAAAGGCTTCTGCATAGAGCTCTCTGAAAAGGAATTGCGAGACTCCTTTGCGGTGGGCACGGTGAGCAAGTTGGCATTGATCCTCAAGACAAAGGAGGACGGGTCTGTCAAGCGCAGGGTCATCATTGATTTGCTGCGCAGTGGAGGAAACAGCAGATGCAGGGTCAGAGAAAGGATAGTTCTACCCCGAATTCAAGACGTGGTGGACAGCTTGAAGTACCTGAGGGAAAGTCGTTTTGGGCTGATTTTTAAAGCCCAGAAAGAGAATTGGGAGGACCAAGATCAATGCGACGAAGTGGAACTGGTGTCGGCAGACCTAGCCGATGCGTACTGCCATTTGGCCGTCCATGAGAATGAGCTGGGCAACTGTGTGGCGCCATCGATGAACCCCGGCAAGTACCTGGTGTTCACGGCCATGCTCTTTGGCTTCAAAGGGGCCCCATTGATCATGGGGCGCTTTGCGGCGACTTTGGCAAGAATGTTGCAAGCCATGGTGCCACCTGACGAGATGCAGTCGCAGGTTTACATGGACGATCCCCTATGGATGCTGCAAGGACCAAGATGGAGAAGGAGAGAGAATTTGGCCTTGATCCTCTACATGTGTGGAGCTCTGGGCGTGAACCTTCAGTTCAGAAAAGGCTTCAGAGGAACGGATGCGATCTGGATTGGGACACGCATGGAGGTGAGGATGGCCGAAGAGGTGGTCATTTTGTCAATCCCGCCCAAGATGATGAACGAGGTCAAGTCAATCTTGGAAGGTTGGAACAACAAGGGAATGGTGCCACTTCGAGAAGTGCGGGCTGTGACGGGAAAGCTAGCATGGATTTGTGGCATCATAGTGAGAGCCAGGTGGTGCGTGAACATCCTCTACTCGGTCATTGCTCAGACCTTAGCCGACGTCAAGGTCGAGAGTGAGCGAGCAAGTCGAAGAGAGGATCCAAGGCCAAAACCCTTCATGGTTGCAGTGCACCGCCTGGAGCTTCCCCGACAATGGTTCATAGCGATGTTCGATAAGCCGGACAAGTTCGCTCTGAGGCGAGAACCCCTTCGTGAAGAACCACCTCAATTTGCCCTCATCACCGACGCGTCACCAAGGGGAATTGGTGCCATCCTGGCGGACATTGACAGGAAAAGTCGCACCATCATCCCCGTGGAAGCGTTGGAGATACCGTTCACGGAGGAGTACGCGCGATGGATGGGCATTCCATGGGATGACCCGGCGGGGCAAGGGCCTTTGGAGGCCTGGGCTATCCTGATGGCCATCAAGAAATGGAAACATAGGCTGCGTGGGCATGCCCTTCTGATCCGCGCTGACAGCGTGGTGGCGCTGGCGGCAGTGAACAAGTCGGCGGCACCTTCTCCAGTGTTGAATTGGATTGGAGCCGAACTGGCATTGAAAGCGGAGGAGCTCAATCTGCGGAAGTTCATCACGCAGCACATCCCCGGAGCGTGGAATGTGGAAGCAGACTGGCTTAGCCGACCTCACCAACGAGGAGCAATGCCCAAGCGCTTGGAAGGCGTCCCGATGCGCCAATTTCCAAAGGAAAGAATCATGACGTCGGCGCTAAAGCCACCGGGCGTAGATGTCGCACTGAGGTGGGGGCAAGCATCCAAAGTGGTGTCAGCGGCTTTCGAAGAACTTTGAGACATCCGAAGCTGGGAAACATGGAAGAGGCTATCTCTTTCGCAGCTTTGGGGGGGGCGGGAGGAAGTGATGAAAAACTTGGTAGAACATGTCACTTCCTTCACTTTTACATGTCTCATGGGTGTCTGTTCTTCCCCCCCCCTTTTGTCTTGTGTTTTGCAAATGATTGGATTGAAGTTTATTTGAACAGGTGCTGTGAAACCGTGTTTTCATGTCAGCGCAGCATGGGTGACTCGAGCAAGCACAATGGAGGTGCAATTAGCCAGCGAAGAACTGTCCAAGGCCGAATCCTGGTCTTGGGTAGAAACGTTTGTTTTGCTGGGATGGTTATTCTGGCTCATCACATGCTGTGCCTGGCTCCGCAACCTGTTCACCTACTGCAAAAATACCCTGTTCCCGCGGAAACCAGAGAGCAGGGAAGTGGCGGGACCTCAAGAAAGGAGTCAGTTGGTCAATGCATCAACCCAAACAGTCTTATGCACTCCTCCAAGTTCTTTAAGCAAGGAGATCAAGCAGAAGGAGCACAGAACCACCACTCCAGAGCCCATAGCAGTCTACTCCTCGTTCAGAAGAGGGGGGAACAGGGAAATGCTAACCAGGGACATGGTGGTACGCGCTCTACCTGTACTCGAGGACATGGAGCAAAGACTGGAAATGGCAAAACGGAGAGAGAGCTGGACAGAATCTTAGGCCGATGCTTGGGGAAAAAGATGGAGCAGAGAACGAACTTCGTCAAAGGAGAGGCGATGAACCCAAGGATGAGAGCGGCCAAACGTGATAAGGAGGAGGCCGACGGTAATCATGCCCAAGTTGCAGAACATGATGGCGCAGAACTTACAGGAATGAAACTAGCATGTCGTCTAGCTGCATCAAAGAAGAGCATGAAAAGCGCGGTGGACAAGCTGAAGGCAAACTTTTGGGCCCCATCCTCAAAAGCATCCAGAGATGTCAAAAGGTCTGAAGTGATGCGACTGGCAAAGTTGGTGGCGGGTGCAAACATGCAAATTTTCCCTCTATCACAAGAGGTGGTGGAAGGGGTAGCTGCGTGTTTGAAAGACGCCAACATGAAGTCAGGCGACCAATATTTGAATGAGCTCAAACTTTGCCACGTGGAACGAGGTTTTGACTTACCACCATGGCTCATTCGAACTCTGGCAATGTGCAAGAAGGCTTTGATCAGAAACAAGGGACCTGTCAAAAGAGCCCTTGAATCAAAGGTGGAGAACATCAAGGAGGACACCTGGATCTTAGCCGGGACTAATGCCGACAACGGGATTAACCCAGCTTTGGCATACTCATGGGCATGTTTGTGGATGTTGAGAGAAATTGAAGCAAGCGAGTGCAAGTGGGAGCACGTGCAGGTGAACTCGCAGCGCAAAACCGTTTCTTTGACAATCCCCATTTCAAAAATGGATCAAGATGCTCGAGGAATCAAAAGAACGCTGCAGTGCTGTGGTGAAAGCGTGTGCTCTAGGTTCTGCGTGTGGAATGTATGGAACCGCATTCAGACCGAATTCCCGAGAAAACGTCCAAAACGAGGACATATTTTCACGGACAAGTTCAAGGGCAAACTTAGCAAAAGAAAAATGATCGAGTCATGGAGAAAGGCCACCCACACACAGGTCACTGGTCACTCTGCTCGAAGGAGCGGAGCAATGGAACATGTGAGACGGGGCATGCAATTGCAAGAACTGGCTTTTCTGGGGAGATGGAAATCTGCTGTGGTGTTGACATACGCAAACGACGCCTTGCAGGAAGTTCCAACAAACAGACCTGGACCAAGTGAAGTACCAGGATCGAATGGAACCATCACCCCGTCCCCGTGGACATCGCACTGCGCGCCTGGCACACCAATGTGGAGAACACCGAGAACACCTATGTGTCATGCACAAGATGAAGGTGAAACGGAAAGGGAACAGAACAACAAAGATCCACCAGATCAAACGTTGTGGGTGTCATCTTGCGAAAAGAGGCAAGGTAGAAGAGTATGGCATAAGGTGACCAATGCAGGATGGCAAATTTCCATGGCAAAGTGGAATACAGCCTGCGGATGGAACTTCACCAAGAATCCGGAGAAAGTGCTGATGTCAGGGACCCTGCAGTTCAACCAGACACGTTGCAGGAAATGCCTAGAAGTGCTGAAATCCCGCGACAAAGTCATGGAGGGGAAACGACTGGCTGGCTTCATCACAAATGGAGCTGCAGCTTGGTTCAACCCGATGAATTCAAGAGACAATGAACAGGGTCAGATAGATCTGACATCAACACCAAGCAGAAAATGGTGAAGGAGCTTGCGACCAAGGTGGGTGGGCTGGGCTTGTCATAGTGCCACGAATGAATGTTTGAGAACCACCACAGTGGTGACAAACATGCCAATGAGTTGCATGATGAATAGGGTGGAGGGAGGGAGTACGTTCTATAGTCGGGCTCAAAACTAGCCTGACAGAAAACTGGAATTTCCCTACCCTTTGAGTTTCCCACCCTTCAGTTTTCTGTTTTCTATGCACAGAGGGGAAACGACTGGCTGGCTTCATCACAAATGGAGCTGCAGCTTGGTTCAACCCGATGAATTCAAGAGACAATGAACAGGGTCAGATAGATCTGACATCAACACCAAGCAGAAAAAGGTGAAGGAGCTTGCGACCAAGGTGGGTGGGCTGGGCTTGTCATAGTGCCACGAATGAATGTTATGAAAAAAAGGTGTTAAGATATGATAGATATGTCCTGAGTCCCAATGAATCCCCATTAGTTTTCTGGATCGCAACTTCTGTTCACATCATTTCCTGATCATTTCCTGGTTGGATTTGTGGATTTCATGTGGCTTCCAGGACCAAACTTCAGATGGCGAAGTTTCGACAGCGCGTGGAGCAGACCCGACGTGGAGGATTTCCTGAGGTGCGGAGAATGTTTTGTTTTGGTTTCCGGATGAGTTCTGCCATGATTGCCATGTTCTGCGTCATTTTATGTTGAACATGTTGAACATGTTGAACATGTTGAACATGATGAACATGTGTTTCCCCAAAGTTGGGGACCAAGAATCGAATGTTGATAGGGAGAACGCACCATCTGAATTGGTGGACCACCCAATTCTTTGATATATTTTGATATATGTGGTTTGGCGAGTTTGACTTGAACAACTTGAACTTGCAGGGAGTGGCGAACTTCTCGGAATATCCAGCACCATACCATTCCAACTCTGCCTATGATGAAGACTTGGCAGAAACCTTGGAGGCGCCTGGATGCGCCTGGCATTGACACTGCGTGAATTTGCTGATTTGGAGGATCCAAGAAAGGCATTCGCATCACTAGTGATTTTAGCGAATAAGGGCAGCAATTAACCGCTATGGCAGGTCCGCTTAAACACATTAAATCATTTGCTTCGGAAGATATCGGCGTGTTTGGAATGTTTTTTGGCAAGGCGGTGGCGGAAGGAGGTTGTGAAGAGCTTTGGTTGGGCGCGGCTGAAATTTCCCCAGCAGGAGGGCTGGGAGATGCTGGGAGATGCTGGGAGATAGGCTCCATCTTGGTTCCATTTTGGTTACGGATGGTTCCGGATCCGGTCACTGCAGCGATGTTTCCATTGCTTTCAATTAGCAATGAGCGGCGCGAGGAATCCGCGAGATCATCGCGTTCATGCAGGACACCAGTTCTCGTCTTTGACCCTCACCCAGAATCCACATCCACAATGATTCTGGTGAGCAGTTTCCATGGCAATGTCTGCAGATTATCTCAGCATATCTCAGCTACCTCCCTTTTGTTCATCTTGGTTCCTAGGCCACATTGACTTGGCTGGTTGTTCTTCCGCAGCGCTCCTTGGGGCCGCTAGGATGCCACAATGTGGTTGGTCAATGGACCCCATGGACCCCGACCCCATAGACTCACCATGACTCCATCATATTGATCCCAAGTCCTTTCCATGCACAGATGTCACAATATGTCACAATAGTTCAAATGATTTCAACCTTTTCCCGACGAATGATCAGTGGAATCTAGCAGTGCAGCAGTGCCAAGAATGGAGGGTGCGCAGGCGATGAACCATTTGTCAATTGATCCAATGTGAGCACAACACTGAAGGGGACAACACTTGACAATAGATGAAAGATATAAAAAGGAGTTATTCCATGTTATTCCGCTATAGGCTATAGTCTATAGTTACTAAGTTGCTATAGCTATTATATAGTTATTACTATACTATATAGTGATTTACTAAGTAGACTTACCATACCTCACCAAGGCTGAGCTTCTGAAGTCCTTCCCATTGGACCGGGGCTGCAGCATCGAATTGGAAAACTGCGGCCTGGCAGATTCCACGGTTGCACGCCTCAGGAGCCATGCGGAGCCATGGGCAAAACTCGGATTATCCCATGATCCCATGGTCAACTTGTCTTGAAAACATCAAAACACACACACACATATATATATAATTATATACATATACGTATATATATATATGGTACCCCCCCCCAAAACCGACATTTTCAAGATTGTAACGCTTTTGGGATAGTTACCTTGTTCAGTTTGAGATCCAGTGGGGCAGTATCATACATATATATGCATATATATATATATACATATATGTATATTATTTGTTATCTTACTATTACTAAATCCATGTACTTAGAGTATTTTTTACAAGAAGTATTTGCAAACGTTTGCAAACGCTTGCAAACGTTCCTGATCAGGATTCAAGATTCAAGATTCAAGATTCCCAGAAAAACTTCTTGAATCCAAGGGGATAGGATTCAAGATTCAAGATTCAAGATTCCAGAAAAACTTCTTGAATCCAAGGGGATAGGATTCAAGATTCAAGATTCCCAGAAAAACTTCTTGAATCCCAGGATTCAAGATTCAAGATTCCCAGAAAGAATTCTTGAATCCAAGGGGATAGGTCTTGAATCTTGAATCCTGGGATTCAAGAAGTTTTTCTGGGAATCTTGAATCTTGAATCTTGAATCCTGGGATTCAAGAATTCTTTCTGGGAATCTTGAATCTTGAATCCTATCCCCTTGGATTCAAGAAGTTTTTCTGGGAATCTTGAATCTTGAATCTTGAATCCTGCCCCCTTGGATTCAAGAATTCTTTCTGGGAATCTTGAATCTTGAATCCTGGGATTCAAGAATTCTTTCTGGGAATCTTGAATCTTGAATCCTATCCCCTTGGATTCAAGAATTCTTTCTGGGAATCTTGAATCTTGAATCTTTCTAAGTACTTGGGTCCCTGGACTCGTTTGCAAACGTTTGCAAACGCTTTTGGTGACAAAATTACTCTAAGTACCTGGGTTCAACAGTAAGACAACAATTAATATATACGTATATATACATATATATTGTACATGAGTTAAATAATGAGTTTGAAGTGGAATTTCATCAGGTAATGGCATTTGTTGAAACAGTTTATCTGCAATTACAATATTACAACTCAAAGCACATTGACAAATAATCACTTGCAGATGTTGATTCTCTTGTCCATATATCAAAAATATTGTTATATGAAAAATATCTTTACATATATTGTTAAATAGTTGAGTTACTAAACTGTCTGCAAGGTTATATGTTTTATATTTTATTAGGTAAGATATAAACTCAATTTCATCTTGTAATGTTTGTTTTAAGACATTCATATATATATATTTTTTTGCATCATTAATATCAATTGTTTTTGGTAAAGAGATTTGTGAATTCTTGAGTAATTCATGTGCTATCATTCCATAAAAAGGTGCACAGTATTTTGAAGCCCTTTATAATATTTTTGACAGTGCATGATATTTTAGATGTTGCATATGTTGCATGCAAATATACATAAAATAGGAATGTCTACTTATTTGATTTGGTGATGTAGCAATCGCATCTATATAAGAAAAATGCTTTAGTGCAATATTATATACTTTTAATTTTACAAGTGCTATAAATCCTGCCAAGTTATGTATTTTTATATATTGTCAATATATGTTATATTTTTGCTAGCTTGATAAAGTAATTTGTAGGCAAGAGTGTATTTTTTAAATACTAATAGTTCCCTTGCATAGCATATTTTTAAGTCAGTACAATTTTATTGTCTCTTCAAAAGATGGGTTTAATATAGGAGCTAAATTTTGTTCTATTCTATATGGGTTTAGACGTATATAGATCTTTTCTGGAAAATAAATAATCAAAAATTAATCCTTAATTATATTGATGCTTATTATAATGTTATGATACATGTTTGTGCTTTGAGTATGATTTTGCTTTATTAAAATGCGACATTGCACTATCCTTTTATCCATATCTTTTAAACAACTGAAGAAATAAGAACTATTAAAATTTAATTGGTTTTGTAGTAATAGATTGTCGAGTTTAATTAAGTGATTTTTATAAGATATATATCTAGATATATATTTTCTTGCTAGCGTTTAAAGCAGTTTTGCCAATCATTTTTAATCCAACTATTTATAGCAAGAGCTTTATTTATTTTTATTTTTTGGTAGATTGTAAAAATTGTGTGTATGTAATTAAAACAATAAGCAAGTAGAAAAAAAAACATACAAAAATAGCATGTTTTAGATATTTTGGCACAATTTGAATCACCAGTTTTTTTTTTTCCATCTGTTTCTAGTTCTTCTTCAGAGAATATGGATATATTTATTAGTGGCTCAAAAAATGAAATAACTATGGTGGAAGGATGTGGAATGGAATTTCCAGAAGACAGATTATTAAATATCTTAGATGAGGCTTTAAAGCTTTTTACTCCAGTTCTAAACTTGATATTAGATATGAAATCTAAAATATCAAAAATAGAGTTTATTTTCAATATTCCTCTAGATTCTCATGTTGCTCAACGTAATTGTCAGAAGAAATCGAAAATCACTCCAGTATACTTATTTTAAAAAGCACGCTATTTACTCAGTCTTCAAAACAAAAAAGAGAAAAACGTCGGTTTTGGGGGGGGGGCTAGCATATATATGTATGTATATATATATAAATATTATATACAATATACAATATCATATATTATATGTAATATATCTAGTTTTGATATGTTTTGATCGTTGATATAGCGTTGATATTGATATTGTTTGGATTTGTTTAAGGTAAGACTCTGGTACCATGTACTCCAAAGCGTAGATGCAAACATGGAACCGGTGGCCCCAGTGGCTCCAGGAACAAAAGCGAAGATGTCTCCCGAGCTCTGAACCAAGCTGCTGCTGAGCGACGACGCATTGCGCAGCGGCTGAAAGACTACGCAGAGATGAAGGAACGGAATCGGGAACGGAATCCGGCAGAATTATTGTGGATATATATATATATGGATATATATATATATGTGGATACATAGATATATACATACATATATATATATATGTGGATATAATCATCACGGAATGTATTCATCATTGTCCTATATTGTCCCATGAAAACAGCTGATTTGTTTGGAATTGCTGAATACCCAAATTGCGGTTTCAATAGGTAATAGACTGTACTAGGTAGTGTGATTAGCCATCAAGGCCAACTCCACTGACCTGAAACCAGGAGTTTTTGAATGTCAGAGCGGAGCGGCTACTGCCAAGGCCGGCACAGCTCTGACTGCGATTCACTTGTATATTGTATGCATGTTTGGGCAAGATAGAAATTATATCATGAAACCATGATATATATATATATATATCAGTGTGTATATATATATATGATTATGTATGTATATATATATAATTACAAAGGTAACAAGAGAATACCAGAGATGTAGAGATCCAGATGATGTCATGACAAGACCACAGCTCAGGGGAGAAGCACCAGAGCCACCTCCATTGCTATGCCATCCTGCTCAGTGGCTTTCTGGCTCCACAGAGCCACAGAAGGCTTTGGAAGGCGAAGGGAGCTGAGCTAAGCGGGTTAGAATTTGGGTAGGAGCGGAGGTTGAAATTTGGAATGTACTTGGCAGATGGCAGATCTTGGGAGATGGCAGTTTAGAGGGCCCCCAATGAATTCCAATGAGCAAATATGTCAATCACAGTGACACATGTGACACTGTGACATGTCGTACTTGGCAGGATTCCTTCGAGCCAATCCCAACAAGCTCATGGACGCAGGTGATTCGTTTGGAGCTCGGTTTGGGGCACTCTGCGCCCTTCTGAACCATGCTGAAAGTTGCTTCATGTTGCTTCACTTGTTGGATTTGAGGTGGACCATGAGCAAGCGCAGCGGAGACAAGATCCATTTGAACGCCGATCAGTTCAAAGTCATTAGCGATAAGCTGGATGACATGTTGCAGCTTGGCTATGAGCACTTCAAGCCGTTACAGTCATTTCAGTAAACCAAAAAAAAAGCGCTGAGAGCCGGGAGGCTTGTCAACTGTTCAAACCAGAGATATTCTTGTGCAGAAACATTAAGGACTGATTGGGGGTGCGACCTCAACGAACCCTCCAAAGGCGAGTTGATGGCCTTCACTGAAAGTTCACGGAACAGAATCCGAGACACTGCGAGACACTGCGAGATGCTCTGCCCATGTGCAATACATTGCAATACCAAATCCCGATGATACTACTAGGATCTACTAGGTTACTAGATGACTGTACCAGGATTGTACCAGATGCAATGTACCAGATGTTCATTTTGGATGCCAGGACGTGCTTTGCCACCAGCCTTCGTAAACGCATTTGGGGCAAGTCCGTCGAAGAGCCCGAAACTCTTGGGCAGTTTCCTCAGCCAAGACAGTATCAAACGCAAGATGAGCTGCGCATCTTTGCAGATCTTTGCATGACTGGAGAACAATATGAACAATCCATCACTGTCCAACCGTTGCATATTTGGCACAGCGAGGCTTCATGATTTGGGAGGGTGTCGCGCCGACCAAAAAGTTCAAACGGGACTTCTACAGAAAGAAGGACGACTGGCAGGAGCGGAATTTCCGGATGCCGGAATACTTCAGACCTGATGTGACGGCGAATGGACTACAATTTCTCTCATGACTTAAAGATGGAAAATGACTTGCAACTGGTCTATACTGGTCTTCTGTTTTTCCAATCCATGGTCTTTGCATGGTGTTGCTATGTGTTGCCATGTGTTAACACATAGATCTCCATAGATCTCCCATTGCCATAATCTCCCATATGACAGCTACGATATGCCACGGACGTGACATCGGACCGTTGAATCCTCGTCTCCAGGCTGCCTGGGCAGACGAACAGCGAAGAATGAAAGAACTCCTGGAGAAGGCGACCGCTGGGTCGACGTTTCTGGAGAATGAAGATTGTTGAAATTGTTGAAGCGCAGGGATTTGAACATATTTGAAGTTCATGTTCATTTTCAGCCATTCCTGGAAAACATTGGCTTAGCGATGCTTAGCGATGCTTAGCGATGCTTAGCGATGCTTAGCGATGCTTAGCCTCAGCATGCCTTAGTATCTTCCCTGAGACATTCTGGAACTCACCCTTTCTTAGATTAGTTGCTGCGATCTGTTCGGCTGCATTTCAACATCGGAAGACTCTTGGGATCTCTGGGGTGGTTTTGGTGATTTCTGTGGAACTTCTGACGAATTTTCTTGGGAGTTTTCCCCAAGTTGGATGAAGATGATGAAGTTGGTGTGTTGAATGAGGCCATCGAGGAGTACGATTCGGGGGATGCAGCACTCGGTGTTGCAAGTGGCCAGCTCATCGCTCACTTGAGCTGCTTGGCCGGAAGCAATGACATTGCAATGACTGCTTAGTCTTTTAATAGCCTTTAATAGCTTTTATAATAGCTTTTATAATAGCTTTTAGTAGCTTTTAACTGTTGAGGACAGATGTGCAATGTGCCCACATCCCAAGTTCATGAAACGGGGGAAGTGGAGGCTTCTTGAGTGGATCCACAGAGTTGAAAGATCCATCGTCTTTCAACTTGGTCAAGGCGTGCAGATCCAGCCATGTGGGACCCCATGTGTTTACAAGAGATGTATGACTTGGGCTGACCTTACCACATCACGTCACATCATTCCATGTCGACATGAGCAAAGGCTCCAGCCAAGTGACTTCCATTCACATCATTCACCGGATTTCACCGATTTCACCGGCCGTCACGAGCCAATTCCTCCATTGACGCAGGTGTCGGAAGAGAGCCCACAGCCACGTCATGGTGAGGTGCACCGTGCGACAGAGTTTTTCGGTGGCCAAGTTCAAGTTGCTGTTCGACACCGCAATGGGCGCTGAGGGGTCATGAGATACCAATATCATCCACTATGTAGAATCATTATTTACAGTATGGTTTATCTTCTACAATAAGCTGTGTATACATATATATATGATATAATATTTATATGATTTATTTAATCTATATAATATTTATAGTATGTTAATATCAATATATGTATATATATATATTATATTTATGTATATATAAATAATCAGATATCATGTATAGACCTGCGTGCATCCCCAGTTCCGGCGCAGGATTTGCACTCAGCTTTATCCGCGGGCTTGGTGGTGGTGGAGGAAATCGTGGCTGATGGCTTTGGCGTGGGCAATTTGAAGCTCACCTTGAGGTCCATGGGAAGCTGCAGTTTTCCAAGCGACTGAGATTTGGGTTAAAACTGGGTTAGAAACTGGGTTTTAAAGCCAGGTTATCCCAGGTTAAAGGGATAAACATGGATAAACTATTCAATAAAACATCCAGTATCATGCAGTATTGTATCATGAATTATGTTGATGACATCAATTGACATCACCTCCAACCAGAGAGAACATGGAAAGATCCATGGTAGTCATCATGGTAGTAAATCATGTGAGATATGCTCCTTGCCAGCATAAAATGGCTACAGTCTCTGACCCAGTGATACTTCATGCATTCGCCGCCGCATCGCAGGTCACTGTCATCCGAGCCATTGATCATCACCATCCGCAAAGGCACCGTGTTCCAACAGAAGTCCTGGACCCACAGGTGCGGGTTGCGAAGATTGGCTGATATGGGCTGCTGATATTGATATGGGCTGGCAGCAAAGAAATGAGATACCTGGCACTGCCTGATGCACATTGCACATCTGAGGTCGGACTTGCTGACAGGGCTGGACTACATGGTGGCATTGCTGCCAGAGAGCAGTACCACCAAAGAAATGTCATGGACCCAGATACCTCGAAATGTCTCAGATATGTGCATTTTGAATGATTTTGATCTATCTATGTGAACATCTTATCAGTTTGAAGGTATTTAATGGTATTTCGACATCTCAAATCTATTTAAATCTGAAGTCACCGGATCGCTTCACAAAACATGTCACACAACACTAAGAACACCAAGACTATCTAAGACTCACATAGAGCATCATAGAGCCACTAAGCACTAAGCGCTCTAAGCGCACTAAGGTTGGGTCATTCCTTCACCATGGTGTGTCCTCCTCCATCCTGTGATGAGATGCTCATCACGGATTTCTATGTGGATCTGGAGGATCTCCTCGGTAGTCAAGCGCTCATCTGGGACCATTTCCAGAACTTCAAGTGGCCCTCCAAGCCAACCTGAGCCAACCTGAGCCAACCTGAGCCAACCTGACAGCCACGGTGCCATACGGTGCCCAAGCTGATGCCAAATATGCCAATGCGCAGCCTCACTGATCTTGTAAAATCTTGTCGCATGTCGGAGTTTCAACAATTGCAAGGACTATATCAAAATTGTAATTATCTATATTATATATATATATGAATGTATATATGTATGATATATATATATATATACTCAAGTGCTTCAAGCAGTGAGACATTCTGATTTCACCACGTTTCACATGCCGCAAAGCGGCAAGCTTCAGATGTTGAATGGAAGACATGCAAAATGCGAGGTCAGAAGCCCATCGCACTTCGCTCACCTGTGAAACCATGACTCGGTGGCGAAGACCAAGCCTTACCATTTTGTGTTTTTTTGGGGCACATTTCGATTTCTGGATGTTTTGCACTTGAAAAGTGATTGGCTGGTGCACGAAGGCAGTGCAGCTTGCGCTCAAAACTTGCTTGGGTATTTGACATATGATATGTTAACATTAAAAAGACGGAATTGAACACACACACACATATATATAATATATTTGTATGTATATGTGTGTGTGCGGTATATATGACATATGTCTATAGTGATGTGTATCTGGTCGCATGGTCGCCTTGGCTCAAGTTGCTGCGCTCTTTCCCAAACCGCCACTGTGGAGGCCATTTTCGTCTTGTCGTTGTCCTTGACCCTGACCCGACACTCCGATGACACTCCGATGAATCCGTTTGTATTGGCAGACTATAGTGACATTTTAACTGACAGATTAACTGACTTTTAACTGACTGTATCAAACTATCAAACTATCAAACTATCAAATGCTGAATCTGATTCTGTTTGCATAAAGCTCTTGTGGGTTCCGCAGACGCTTGTCGCCAGGTCATGGCGAGGTGCATTTTCCACAGTGCGCAATGGTGGAGACACCAGGTGGAGATCATGTTGAAGCACAACTGGTGGAGACACCATCAACTCACGACGGTGTCACAAAGTCTTCCTTTAAAGGAGCAAAAAGGAGCTACTCCGTTTCTCTCTGACATATCTGACATGTGAGGGAATTCATCCCTGACCAATCTCAACATTCATCATCATTCTAATGATAGATCTGATAGTTGATGAATGTTGAGATGTTTGAATGACATCTGATGACATCTGATGTTTGATGCCTTTATCAGGCTGGATTTGCTGCCCTTGCAGCCGGCACGGCCTGCGGTGTCGCCATGCGACCATCCAAGTTGACGGCAGCAGATGGCCCGGAGCTGAATAGAGATTTCCAGAGAAAGATCAAACAATATCAAACATGAAACAATATAAGATATAAGAGATATAATATAAGCTTCAACTAGTTTTAAGATTGTTAGGAAAACAAGACATACTGTGATCCTCAGTGATCCTCCTTGTTTTACTCCGTGGCTATATTCTGCCTATTCTGCCAATCTCTCATGTCTGTGCAATGTTCGAGGCAAGCAGTTGGATGAAAGATCAGCAGCAAATTTGAGGCGCTGAGCCCCAGTTGAATCTGATAGCTGCCGGCACTGCTCAATATGAAGCCTGCTGCAGCTTGGGCCATGATCATTTGAAAGGGCTTAGACTATTAGAGAAACGTTCCGAAAAGTATTTGGGAATCAGTCGCAGAGGATGTTTTCGGGTTGCAACGTGGCTGGTTTCGAACGGAAGGGATTCCAATCCAGTTGTCCTTTGACGCGTGAGGCCATATCATCTTTCCACCTGGCAGGAACCTCAAGGAGGTCTGAGATATCTGGAGATCTGAGATAAAGACAGGCGACATTTGGGAAGCCCTGCATGGCGGCATCGGCGCAGGACTCGTGAAAGAACGCCAAGCCTTGGACTCAAATTCATCTGGCGGCATGCCATGGCCACATAGGCCCTATTAGGCCATGTGGCGATGTGGCGATGTGGCCAAGTGGTCATGGCCAACAAAAAAATTTGGAGTGCTGTTATGCAATGTTATGCACAAATGAGCTTCCAAATGAGGTCAACAAGTACTTGAACCCCATTGCGATAGCCTGGCCAGATTTCAATTTCTTGAATCCTGTTTGTTCCTCAGATTCTTTTCAGTGGCCGGATTCAATTCAGGGGGTATTTGCCTATTGGACGCATTCTAAGGGCATTTTCTGCCAATCTACACAGCTCAAGCTACTGTAAGCTAATACAGGATGAACTGGTGATGGGACACAGGGTCAAGTTCATTTTGGAAACAGTTCATTTTGTTCATTTTGCACTTGAAGTCAACATTTCTTTGCAGTGTCTTTGCCTGCTTTTTCTTTGCAGTGTCTTTGCCTGCTTCTGTCAGGTCCACAAATTGTTGCACGGTGACTGTAGCACTGCAGCTGTTTAGAGGGCTCAAGGAAGGTTCGGGGGTCGTCTGTGGTGCACGTCAAAAGTGGGTCGTTTGTGCACGTCAGAAGTTGGTCGTCTGTGCACGTTACTTTTGTGTGATTTTGTCATATTTTGTCATTGTATCTCTGTAACATGATTCTTCTTGTTGCTGTTTTTTTCTTTACATCATCACACAACTCATCACTGTGTGGGTTTTTTCTTCACATCTCTGTGTGGGGTTTTTGTTTTTAGGCTTGCATTCCGCGCCTTCTCCTCCTTCTCCTCCTCCGTTGTTCCTCCTCTCACTCAACTTCACCCAAGTTCTCTCACACAACGCGCACAACTCATCTCACACAACTCCTCTCCTCTCACAACTTACATAACTCATCTCACACAACTCATCTCTCACAACTCAACTCACAGAACTCATCTCACTCAAGAGCTGCTTTCGTGTAGCATTTGGTGGAGCTGCTTTCGTGTAGCAGGCTCAGCACTGGCTGCTGCTGGAGTTGCTGTCGTGTGGCAGGCGCGAGAGTTTGACTTTCTGCAGGCAGCAGCACGTGGTGCTCCTGGAGCTGCTTCTGCGTGCTATGGGGCCTGCCGGCGTGCGCTTGGACTCAACTCATTTCACACAACTCAACTCTTTCAATTCATCTCACACAACTGAACTCACTCAACTCATCTCACTCAGCGTTCCTCATTCAACTTCACTCAACTCATCTGACTTATCTCATCTGATCAAGGTGCAGTGCTTTTGTGTGCAGAGGAACATGAACGCTTTGGCCCCCCCGCCCCTGCCCAAGACTATGTTCAAGGTGCAGTGCTTCAGATGACAGGTGATCAAGGTGCAGTGCTTTTGTGTGCAGAGGAACATGAACGCTTTGGCCCCCCCCCGCCCCTGCCCAAGACTATGTTCAAGGTGCAGTGCTTCAGATGACAGGTGATCAAGGTGCAGTGCTTTTGTGTGCAGAGGAACATGAACGCTTTTGTCCCCTCCCCCACCCCCCAACCAAACCCTAAATGGCTGAGTCAAGTGATGATTTAAGTCCATGGATCCCACCCTTGTTCCCAGCATCAATGACGCTTTTGTCCCCCCCACCCCCCAACCAAACCCTAAATGGCTGGTACCCAGCATCAATGTGCGCGGATGACCGCTCTATGTGCGCGGATGACCCGGTTTCTCTGTGCGCGGATGACTCGTTTGCAATGTGCGCAGGTGACCCGCTTTCAATGTGCGCAGATGACCCGTTTACCCTCAGGGTGGGCAGGATGGTTGGCACTCAACTCGGATGGCGTGGCGTGCTGACATGTGCTGACGCTCCAGAGGTGAAGCTGGAGAACAAGGAGGAAGTTGCATGTATCATGATGCATCATGAGAATCATGAGTATACTGCCAGTGCTGACTCTGTGCTGCGCCGTGGCCTGTGGCCACAGCAAACTCAAAGGTAGAGCTCAAAGTTTCTTCTATGGCGAAGGAATTATGTCCAGACGCAGAAGGAGAAAGAGGCTTGGAGTGATGTGGTGGCTTCTTTGAGCTCAAGCCTTCCGTGTGATCTGCTGTTCACCCCACGGACTCGGCCTGAGGATGACCGAAAACGTGACTTGGTGGGCTCTTGGTGGTATGGTTTGGAAGCGAAACGCAGGGACTCGAGGTGGCATGTTTTCAGTGAGAGAAACCAACTACCATCTCGAGGAGGCACTCTGGTGGTCGTGCAGATCTGCCGAAGTGAAGGGTTTGGTGGCAGCAAAGATGTCACCGCCAAGTCCTTCACCTCGGCAGAGCTGTGCGACGACCACCAGAGCGCCTCCTCGAGATGGCAGTTGGTTTTTGTCTCGGAAAACATGCCACCTCGAATCAGGCAAACGGGCAAGAGGAAATCCAAAGATGCCATGGACGAAAGCAAGAAGAAACGGAAGAGCCATATCATCCCTGAGGAGAGCCAGATGGAGAGACACATTCCCTTGTGGACTTCGTCAACGACATCGTGGTGATCGTCGCAACCGAGGGCTTTACAAACCAGTTGCCACCACTGCCAGAGGATGCACAGAGGGCTAGTCAGTTGCCACCCGGAGCGGCAGAGATGGATGAAGTGGATGAGGAAACTCAGAGCAGATTCCAGCCGACCGAAGAAGGTGAAGGTGAAGAAACCACCCAAATCACCACCTGAGAGGCGACGACAGCTCTTGAATGCTTTCAAGGATGCGCTGGATACCAGATCCACGGTCTCAGAAGAGATCTTCCAATATGGAGAAAAAGGGCGACAGTGCAAGCCGGTGAGAGAACAAATACGCACGCTGAGAGAAAGTCACCGCAATCTTGTCCATTGCTTGATAAGCGAAGACCTTCTATTCAAAGTTCATGTTAGTTTGTGCTCAGGACGAGCTGGTGATGGGACACATCATTCTCAACGACTCCAAGCAGGCACCGCAACGCAAAGTTGCCTCAGAAAGTTTATTGCGTGCTGAGCCAGGGATGAAAGAAACCTTTAAATTTTTGAAGGCATCTCGTCCAAAAGAGCTTGCTGCCGGCCCCATGCTCAATCTTTGTTTGAGAGTCTTTGCAGCAGATTGCTTGGCCCGAGAACTTTGCAGCAAAGGTATGCAAAAACATTGGTTCCGTGCAGTCTGTATCAGCATATGTAAACTCAGTGATAGTCAATATGGAAAGCTAGAACCATGGTTTACAATGGTTTACTAGCATTTACACATTGCATTTTTGATCAACTTTTTGAGTCCTGCAATGAGGCTGTGTGCGGGGCAATGCCTGCAGGGAAATATTTTTCAATCCCGATGAGGCACCACTGGCTGCAGCTGCTGCGCTGCGCCTCATGACATCGGCATCAGATGCATCAGTTGAAGCGAATCGCGGTGGAAAGATGTGGAAAAAGGTGGTGCCCCCAAGATAGCTAAGTTGGTTTATAACTCCAGTAATTATGGTTTATAGACGATATTAGACGATATATCTATAGTTAATGGGTTTATAACGAATTTTTAACTGGGGGGCACCACCTTGAAAGGTTCGAGCGGCCATTGTCACGTGCGGCGGCTTATGTCACTCCCTGAGACCGCTACACGTGTGAAACATGTCGTTGAAACGTCTGTGAAACATGGCACTGACCTTGGTGACCAAGGCCCGGGATTGAATTCCATCATCCGCGAAATCACCAACTGCCTGTGGCACCTTGGCCGCTACATGCTACGATCTGATGGGATCGCCCTGTGTGGATGTGGCCGTTCCCCGAGGCATCAGTACGGCGCTGGAAACCCAAAGAGCTGCACCACACGACATGCGTTGACTGCAGTCCACAGATGGCAGATCACTGAGGTGAAAGCCATTCTCGGCATGCAGTACGGGTACAACGGGCCGATACCTGAAACTCATGTGAGAGCGAGACCTGGAACGAGTGACACAAGTGACACAAGTGTTCCTCAAGGTGCAAAGATCCAGATCAGTTTCCTCCGATACAGTGTGACGCTCGAGACGCTCAAAGTCTCATGACAAAGTCTCGTGTGCCAAGTGTCACGCAAGTTTGAACGTCATTGGTCACCCATCACCCTAGCTTTGATGCAAAGTGAGAGGGATTCTAGGGATTCTCAGGTATCAGAATAGATATCACATTATCAAGTTCTCAAGATTTTGTCAGGTTGACGGTGGAAAATGTTCGGGACATCCACATGAAGGGAGGAAGTATTTTGAAGGCCCGGCAGATTAATACGTTGAACTTCAGAAAGCTGCGCTAATTCCGAACAGCTAAGTTCATAGGTAAATGGTTGGTGACATATTATATAATCCACATAATTAGTCACATAGTACAATGTTCGTTTGCGTGCTTGTAATTAATTCTGTAGGCCGGTCGTGGTGGAATGGAAGATCCTGAGAAGATCCTGGACCAGCCTCATCCTCACACACTTGCTTCGTTTCTCTTCAGCTTGAATGTTTCAAGCATTTCCGTCCAAGATGCGAGGTTGCAGAAACAAGGAGTCAATATGCCTGATACCAAGCCTACGCTATGTTTTTTTTGGCTGCACATTTTGTTCAAGTTGGCATCTTTGGGCATCTTTTGATTTTGACCCAATCATCCTGTATTCCAGTTTGCAACAGAAAGATTGGCTTAGGCTTTTCACCGTGGGTGGTGACGGAACACAAGTGACCTGGCCCCGATAGAGCAATGATAAAACTGCATTTGGTCTATATGCATTTCTTGCCGCATTTGTTGCGGGATTAGTGATTAGTAAGCGAGGCAGCTGCCAACAAGCTTTTCCAAGCTGCCAAGAAGAGGGGCATGCCAGAGCCTCGCTGAGAGACCTGTAGCCATGGCGGGGTTGTGCTTGAGAATGCTTGAGAATAGCAGCTTGAATAGCACTTGTTTGCTCATTGTTTGCTCTTTGTTTACTCATAGTGCCAGACATTGCAAGATTGCTCCGAGCTTTCTGGGACAGCTTCGGGTACTGAGGCCTTTGTCCATTGTCGGCGTTCCAAAATCTATCGACAATGACATCGTTTTTTTTGACAAGACATTTGGCTGGGACCTTTGTGTCATTGACATAAAGTAGAGCTTTACTTGTGGTTTTTGACCTATAGTCTCTTAGACGACAGCCTTGAAGCAACGGTCGAAGCATGGCCTTCGTCCATCCATCGGGGTCTCCAAGGTTTTGATTCCGCAGTAGCGGCTGCATCGGAGGTGATTCGTCTCCCTGGCATCTGCCGCAGAGCTGAAGATCATGAAGAGGGTGTCAAAATGTGTAGCGATGGGCGTGGTTTACATGACAGGAAATGGCTGGGTGGAGGCAACCAGTTCCCAACTCAGTCGAAATTCTTGCAGCCAACCGTTTTGAGGCAGAGGTTTTGAGCAAAGGTTCTTAATCACTTCCTCAAGAAGTCATGAGATGTCTCAACAATAGCTGGCTTTTACTTGTAAAATATGTGGAGTGAAGACATGTGCTAGCCAAGAGTTCAATTTAAACGAATTCAGGTCAGAGCTTTTTGAATTGACAGATTTATGCATATTTGACATGCTTAAAATATCTTAAAATACAGCAAAGCTCAATATAAAGTCGCTCTCGCGTTCCCATCTTTGTATCCAGCTTCTTTAGCTGGCACTAACACTGAAAGATATGACAGCGGAACCTTACCGCCCAACTGAACCCAACTGACTTTTGGGACAGCTTGGGACGCTTCACCGAACCGCTTAGCCGCGCTGCTGTGCATATGCCGCGCATATGCTGCCCTGTTCTAAGGTTGTTCCAAGGGAGTTGGAATTGTGAAGCTCATGGGACCGCAGCGTTGACAAAATATCACAAGCCATCACCTGCCACGATCGCCACAATTCCCCACATGCCAAAACCTGATCTGAGATGATCTGCCAGGACGCGATGCAGGATTTGTGGCCATGCATGCCGCGTTGGCATCTACCATTGTTGATCTGGTGATGATTCCAGAGGCCTTGGACGTGACTAGAACAGAACAGAACACTGACGGAGAAGATTGATGTCCATATTGTCCATGAAAAGAAGTGCGCGTTGTCGTTGTAAAACGGATGAATAAAACATATATATCAAATGATGTTATTTAAAAGTGCCTTGCAAAAAGTCAGACGTTCCGAGGATGCAATCGGTTATTGTGAAAACATGTTGCAGTTCTTGAGCAGGTAGAGGTTGAGCAGCCCTCTCAGTTTTGCCGCCATGCTGCCATGCTGCCGGCTTTGTTGCTCCATGTTGCGCCTTACTTCGCCTTCCCTTCAGGATGGCCGAAGTCTTGAAACACGTTGATCAAACTTTGGCACGAAAGGCCCGGCCACACGAGTTGGGTTCCAACGAAGTCGCCGCATTTCACGCAATGCCTTTGAAAGTTATCTTAGATTCCTTAGATATCTTTCATTAAATGGCTTAATAATGCTAAGTTAATCATGTTAATCTTATTATTTAGATCATAGTCCTACTTTCACTGGTAAAGTTGGTGACTGACGGGCGCCTTTTGGAGACTTCTAGGCGCCCAGCCCAGATCTCTGCAGGACTTCATGGTCATTGCTGTGGCAGAAGGTGCGGGACAAAAGTTCGTGGCGACTGGAAAGACTGATTCGCAGCGGCCTTGGTGTTTGAGTGTCGTATCATCATACGGTTATCATTTTTTGGGTCATGGGAGGCATGTGTAAACCTATGACTAAATTAACATATTTCATAAGTAACAATACCATAGTCATCCCCCCATTGGAGTTCGATTAGTTTACCATGGTTTACCACAACACGGTTTTTCTCTCGCCTTTTCAGCATGTTGAATCTTCCACGAGCTTCATGGGTCTTCTGTTTTCCTCCGATGTTCCTCCATTTCTGTGCAAGGACTGGCCACACCGTGTATGGAGACATTGGCACATACTTGAAGGTGCCTGAGATTCACTGCTTATACATGCTTATACACATTTATAATCATTTATACACATATATGTGTAACCTGATGGAACCTGTTCGAGCTGAAGTTGATACTTCACACCGCTGTGGAGGACTCCGTGAATTCCCACCTCAAGGTCAGCGGCGGAACGAGACTCAGCATGGCTTACCCAACTCCCATGTGGACAGCATTTGTTGGAGATTTGCAGAGCAAACTGTCTAAGGCAGATCCTTTTACATTGATCCATCCTACATCATCCGCTCTGTCACAAGCTCAAGAAAATGTTCAACAATGTTCTATTTTCAGCTGCATTTTGCGACAGCACGCAGATGGGACACTGGTTCTGTAAGTTTGTACATGGGGTGCCACATGTTTCCCATGTTTGCCCTAAGGTCGTTATCCGACCAAATGACCACATCTATTGCTCCAGGCCGTTTAGCAGCTCAGCACATGATGCACATGTCTCAGCCCATGGACGCATTGGCAGGTTAGCGCGAGATGCGGTGCATACTGCAATGAGAGGATACACTGGCGTGTGTGTTGGGCGGGGGCCTTACCAGATAAGTTCACTGTGAGATCGTAAATCGATGTAAATCGTAACATCCATCGCTCGATCAGTCGCTTCTCGCACTTGAACAAGTTGAAGGAGGAACATGTAATATTTCTATAATTTACTATATATTATTACCTGGACCCCCAAACGACTGTATGTTTTTGGTCATTTCGCATATGACATTTTTTTGGTCATACGGCATATATGCCAAAATTTCGAATTCTAAGTTGCACGCATCGGGGGTAATTAATCATGACACGAATATTTTTCCAATATTTTTCCAGATGTTTTCAATATTGTACAATCTTGCAACTGTTCAATATATTTTCATATTTTCCATTTGTTTCCAATATTTATCAATATTCTTCAAACATGCCACTTGTCGCCAAATACTGCCAAATATGGGCATATGACCAAAAAAAAATGTAATTTCTCCAAATTTGGAAGTCGTATTCGGTCAAACAACTAAAAAAAATGGTCATACGGTGTTCCAGGTAATATATTATTATATATACATATATTGAATTATTAATATTATGTAATGATGCAATGACAATGTTATATATCTCCTGTTGTTTCGAATGGGCGCCTTTTACACTCTCACGGCCTCGTGGTGCTCAGGCCGATTCACAACATCATTGCTGGAGCCCTAGACCATCAAAAATATCATCCCCCATAGTTGAATATTGAAGGTACTGTACCATATAAGGCAATATTTTGTGGGGATATTCTCTTGCATAGGCCTTGATTGTATATTGTAGCATCAACTTTTTGCTGTTTGACCCAACATGATCCAACCATCACCCAACTATCCATATCCATACTCTCCGCAGGTGGTGATGCCCAGCAATCTCATTGCAAGTCGTGCATTTCTCAGAGCGGGTTTCACCAGGTGCATCTTAGATCAACGGAGCATCAACGTGTCCTGAGGCAAGAAACGAATTTCGATCCACAGCAGTGCCTGGCAATCCTGCGTCCAGTCCCGAACTCAACGTGTCTCAACATGCGACTTCGAACGACTTCGAACTTGATGTTTGAACAGTTTGAACTTGATCAAGAGAACACAAGAAATTGCATTGCGGCATTGAACTTCTGCACAGGTGGCACATTGTGTTGTTGTGCATGTCTCCATCTTTGATTTGCATTTCTCTCAAGATATCCGACTCTTTGACAGTTTGGTATTTTCATGTATTTTCTCAACTTCTTTTTTCTTATGTCCTATCTCAAAAAAGCACATGTTTGATGGCTGAACGTCGGTTGTTCCGAAGGTCCTGCAACATGCCAAAGTCCTTGTCGGGCTTGCACTAGGGTGCCATGCTGACTCGACTGAGCCATCGATTTTCATGGCGTCAGTGGGAATTTCGTGGGTTCCCAATTGTAATTATGCTGACAAATGCTGACCTGCCGAGGTGGTAGACCTCTGAAAAAATGAAACAAAAAACCCAACACGTCTTCTCTACGTATATGTGTTTTCGTGACTGTCAGCCACCTTCGCACTGATTCCTGGGGCATTTCTATATTTTAAGGTTGAGCTGAGACACAGGAGCGACACTGTGAAACAGCAGAAACGAACCGGCACTGGCACGTACTTTCGATGCTGGGATTTGCTGAGTAATTCTTGTGACGAGTTGTTTGGAGAGTGAAGCAACTTGCGCAAATTGGGCATTCCATCATATTCCGATCATATTCCATCCAAATAGTGTGGATAAAAAGATGATGGTAACGCCACCTCTTGGCTCAAGGGTCAGGGTTTCAACTGGACCCCAGATCTGAAACCAGATCTGTTCTAATTGTGCAGCACATTGCAGCACGATGCACAGGAACCAAATACCTCGTTCGAATTCAACATTTTCAAACATCTTGGTTTCTCTTATAGGCCTTGTGATTGGCCTTGCAGCCCTCACACTCTTTGGCCGTTTGGGCCCAGTGGTGGGGCTTCCAATTCTCTGCCTCTTGGTCTTTATCTTCCGTCGTTCATCTGGAACAAGAAGCCAAGAGGGCACAAGAGGTACAGGTGCCACACGTGCCGCGCGTGCTGCATGTGCTGCATGTGCATTGCTTCGCTCCCCTGAAGTGCCGAACGTCAAGCTGCCTGTGACAATCGTGCGACTGCAAGAACTGTCACCAGGAAAATCTAAAGCGACTGCAACTGGATCAACCGGTGTGCGGTGGAGCAAAGTCACACTCTTTTGGAAAGCGGTGATGATTTTGAATTCAGCATGTTGGGGATCTACATTCATTGGAACAAAGTCCGGAATCGATGCTTTGAAAGCTGCTGATGTTCGCAACCCAGGTCCAGTCTTTGGCCTTGGCAGCATTTCCATTGCTACCATGGTTGGGCCGCTCCAGCTCTCTGGAAAGTGCAGCCATGAGTTTTCTGGTGGGACTCATTTGGGGTACTTCCTATGCGTGTACCTTTGTATCTTACACTCTTGGGACAACTGGAGCAAAAGCCGCCTTCATCACATCACTTCAGTCTGTGGTGGTGGCTGCATGTACCTCCATAGTGGCCGGGCGGCTACAACTTGGTACCTGTACACAATTTGTGTTACTCTTTTGCGTGGTTAGCTGTGAAGATAGGGAATATATAGGTAAATGATCTATAATTACCATCTACACCGACCTAGAAGTCTTCCAAAATGTGATTTTACGATGTTTCCCATAGGCTGATGTTGGCTAAGCCATGCTAAGCGCTTATGTCACTTGTGTTGATAGGCTGCAGATGCCGATGCCAAGGCACTATCTTCTCAGCACTCCTGGCCGTTCTTGGAGTGGCCTTCATTGAGCTGAACGGCGCACTGGACCCGACCATGGGAGATGCTGTTTGCATGGTTGCGCCCATCGGCGTAGGTGCGGACACGGCAAAGATGCAACAGAAAACTGAATTTGGACTGCAGATGGAATCAAATGAAGAGACATAAACACATTGCATCAAATGGCATTGCATTGAACATATGATGACTAATACATTGGATATGTTATTGGATATCTTTTCATATGCGTAAGCATTACTACACACACACATGCCGAGATGCATAGAGAATATAGAGATGCTCAAGATGCCATGTTGACCAAGACTCACTGACACAAGCACCAGCGAAATATGTATGCGCTCTTTCTGGGTGCCAGGTATCGGTTGGTATGTGTTGGATGAGAACATGAAGAAATACCCCAACGACTTCATTCCATCAGTGGTGATCCAATTTGCGGTGTTCACCTCGATTTTTGCACTTTGGCTCCTCAAGGATTATGATTTCTTCGATCAAGATCAAGGCCAAGAAATCGGAAACAACTTGGGATCCTTGGGAATTCATTGGTTTCAGCAGCTCCAGCTGCCGGAGCTCCTGCGGACGCCGAATCTCCTGTGTCCCTTGCTTTTCGCATCGATCTTCGGAAACCTACTCACCATGTTGGCCGCCAACGTGGCCTGTCGACATCTCCCGGTTTCAGATGTCAGGAACTCAGTGATCAAATATCAAAATATATGAATGATATTATAGATAGATAGATAGATGGATGGATGGATGGATGGATAGATAGATAGATATTTATGTGTGTGTGTGTTTGGTGCAATGTGGAAGATGGGGAAGGGAACACCAGGGAACAAATGGACTAAGACCTCTAGTGACAGTCTGCTGCCTGTCTTTCACAACTCTCCTTACATTGATCCTTAATGATCTTAATGGGTCATTATGACTTAAGTTTACAGTATTTGTCCGTTTAGGTTGGTGCCATGCTTTGAGGTCTCGCTGATTGTCACGACAGAGCCTTTGTTCGCGGCAGTGGCAGCCGTGTGTTGTATTGGTGAGACTTTTTCACTTGGCGACTGTCTCGGCTTGGGCCACAGACTTTGCATAACCTTCTCGCTGTTTTAACTTTGCTTCATGCTTCCCACGCTGAAGTTCGTTTGGCAACACTTTGTCATCATATGTTATCCTTGACAATCATTTCAACATATTTCAACTGAGGTGGCTTTTTCATCATGGCTGCACTACTTTGCAATGAGCCTCTTGTCAGATGGTTGTCTCAAACAACTCCAAACCCTGCAATTGTTTTGGAGACAAATCACACACACAACTCACCACGCCCAAACCAACAATGTAAACCACAACCAGCCTCCTTGCATCTCCTTGCTATTGCCTTCAATTCAGCGGTACTGGTGGAATGACGCCCCCCTGCATCCTCCCCAGCATCCCCCACACATTGCTGAGGTTGTGGGGAGAGACAAATGATGAAACGAATGAAGCGAAACTGATGACGGCAATGAAGAGCGATTTGAGCGTCTCTTCAACTTCAACTTGCTCGACTTGCTCGACGTACGCTCTGAGCAAATGCCCCTTGAGTTTTTTTCAGCATGAGTAAATGCACAACGCGCAATGCATGTACAATTTGCAGTTCACGCGGCATACTCGTGCGCATTTTCATGGTGAATATTTTGCTTGCTTTGAACCATGGATCCTTTGCACGTGCAAATTCAGTGGGCACAACAAGTTCCAACATAATTGGCACCTACAACATCAAGTTGTTTCCGGCACACTTCTGCAGTGTTGCACCTTTCCGTTTTGATGCACCTGAGGCGAAAGTGGCCAGAGTGCCTCAATCGCATCAATCGAAACAGCTTAAACTTCTCCATAGGGAACAGCAGATTCACAATTCAGTGAAAGGATGAAATTACAGAAATGGAACGGTGGCTCATTCAAGGCTCTATACAGCTAAATGGATCTAAATGGGATCTGCGTGAAAGGAACAGTTTTCGGACTCTAGAACGAATGATATGAATGGCTGCTCCCATTGCTCCCGATGTCTTCCGCTGCATAGTTTGATTGGTCGCAATGACCTGCACGCCCTGGTCGAATGCATCAGCAGCTGCATGGCAACATCTTCGGCTTTAGCTGGTGCTGGAGGTTCAATTATATGCAAACAAGAGTGGTATCACAAGTCTTGGAAGAAGTGTTGACAGTGTTGACCTTAGGTGTTGGCTTGCAGCTTTTCACTTGACCACCATAGATTCAAAAAAGGACGCCATTCCTTACAGACCTCAAAGAAGGGAAAAAAAGGGCGTGCGCAGCTTGACTTTGAAGGTCCACAATGCCTTAAAAATCTTTCAAGTGCTGAACATCTCAGAGTTACTCAATGTTACATTTTGCATTGCTGGCGTCGATGGTGTTTGTGCTGCAAGCATCTGCAAGCGGCAATGGTTTTTTGCAGAGAGATTCGTAAGGAAAGGCGCTGCTCCACAGTCAGAATCAAAAGTCTGGGGAATTCGCCTTGAAGATTCTTCCATTGTCGTTGGCTTGTTCTGCTGTGCTCAGCGGGCAAAAGTTCCACCACACAGACATATCTAATGTGTGTGAATGTATCCCAAAGCAGCTTGGTTTGCAACATTTTGCATCCATCTCCATCCATCCAACTTACCCAGTTTGTATTTCATTTGTGCTAAGCTCTAAACTGATGTATGTATCTCTACTGCGCTTGAATTCGAAGATTTGAAGGTGTGTTTGCCCTTGGCTGGTGGCATGGCGCCACTGCAGTCCCGAGTAAATCAGTTACTTCATGATTTGGGCCTGGCCCCACAGGAAACTTTGAAGGCCGATGCAAGCGCTATAGCAGCTGCAGTGGGCCTCGAGACCCCTGAATCAGTCCTGGATGTAGTGAATTCTGCCGAGCGGGCCTTGTATGCCACGGATTCTGCAGGCCGGATTTCTCGAAGAAAAGAAAGACTTGGCAAGCTACTAGATCTACATAGATCTACTAGCTCGTAGATTATTTTTCCCCACCTGCCAGGTGAGGATCTCTACATTTTATCACTTTTTCCCCACCTGCCAGGTGAGGGTTGTTAGATTTTATCACAGTTGTTCTCAGGTTGTTCTCCTCCTCCTCCTCCGCCTCCTCTCCTCCTCGTCCTCCTCCTCGTCCAGTTTCTCCTCCACCTCCGCCTTGCCAACTCTTCGCCAACTTCCACTGCTGGACCTCAACTGCCGGCGTGCGATCGGAGTGGGCACCGCTGGACCTCAACCTGAGACCTTCCGAGCGCAGTGAGCACCGCTGGACCTCAACCTGGGACCTTCCGAGCTCAGTGAACATCGCTGGACCTCAACCCCGGACTGTCTGAGCTCAGTGAGCACCGCTGGACCTCAACGGCCAGATAGAATACCAGAAGATATGCCAGATAGAACTCCAGATAGCATGCCAGATAGAATGCCAGAAGATATGCCAGATAGAACGCCAGATAGAATGTCAGATAGAATGCCAGAAGATATGCCAGATAAAATGGCAGAAGATATGCCAGATAGAATGCCACAAGGTATGCCAGATAAAGTGCCAGAATGTTTGCCAGATAGAATGCCAGAAGATTTGCCAGATAGAATGCCAGATAGGATGTCAGAAGATATGCCAGAAGATATGCCAGATAGAATGCCAGAAGATATGCCAGGTAGAATGCCAGAAGTTTTGCCAGTAACAAAACGTATAAATGCCATGGTGGGGATCACTCGAAGTAAAGTAATATAGTAATTATCAGAGTTGCTTCCGTCTTCTTCTTCGCCCCCGCCAGCCTCGGGTCTCAACTGTGAGCTTCCGATCTCAGCCGGCACTGCGCCTCAGCCGCGAGCGACCTCAACCGCGAGCGCCGCCTCAACCGCAGGGCCAGACGTCAGTGCGGCGAATGCCGGAATAGAATGTCAGGTAGGATGCCGGAAAGAATGTCGGAATAGATGCCAGGTAGCATGCCAGAAGGAATGTCACAAAGAATGCCAGTTTCCAGAAAGAAAGAACCTCGGAAGAGATGCCAGATAGAATGCCAGAAAGACTGTCAGCATGTGTACGCCACGCCAGAAAGTAATTATGTCGGAATAGATGCCAGAGAGAATGCTAGAACGAATGTCAGAGTATATGGCAGGAAGAATGTAAGATAGGAATGGCCAGTATATACCTCCAGCTGGTATGTCAGAAACTATGTCAGAATACTCTGTCAGGGGGGATCACTTGAAGAAAAAAGAGTAATTTTGATGTTGCGCCAGGGGGTTGCATACCATTGCATGCTTACAGCCAGGCAACAAGCGCCAAAAGCTGGCGGAAGCACCCAGCTCTTCAGCAAAAGCATTTTCGGATCCATCCGTAGAGCTGATAGGGTCGGTGTATGTGCCGCGTGGAAGGGATAGGTTGAAACTTGGCAGCCCCTCGCCCGATTTTTGTGAGTAATTGTGTGAGGCTTGCTGTCTTGACCCAACATCCCAAACCCCCCCAAGCAGTCTTCATGCTGATGTCATCAGTTGAAGCTTCGATTTGTTCTATCCGAAGAGCAGCTTGTGGTGGTTTGCAGAAACCATCATGCCATCGAAGCTCCTCTTTCAAAATTAGGCTTCTTCAGTCTTCGGCGGATGTTATTCCCGGAAAAAGAAAACGGGAACCCAAGCCTCAAGCCCGAAAGCTTTTAACAAGTTCTGCGCACGTGCAAAATCATGCGCAAGCAAAAATCGTGCGCACAACTCTCTCACATAACTCCTTCACACACGCAACTCTTTCACGCACAACTCTTTTATACACAACTCTTTCACACAACACTTCCAGAACACTGTCACATAACGCACACCTCTTCAACGCACAACTCTTTCACACAACTTTGTCGCGCACAACTCTGTCACACTCAGCTTTGTTACACACACACACACAACTCTTCCACACACAGGTCCTTCACAAACAACTTTGTCACGCACACACACACACAAACACACACACACAAGCCCTTTACACTTTACAGTCAATGCACTGTCGCCATTCACACCAACTCATCAACAACAACCTTTGCCATCAGCAGACATTCACATGCACCCTTCTACGCTCTTTCCACCAGTCCTGTCCAGCACCTCAACAAGCATCGCAAGCACGTCAAGCACAGCAACAAGCAGCTCCAGCGCAAGCCCTTCAAGCACAATCAGAACCATTACCAGCACAACGGCAAGTTCTACCTCAAGCACATCAGCCAACAGCACCGGCACAGGTACCTCCAGCATTTCCTTGACCGGCACCAGCACTACAAGCATTTCCGCAACCAGCACCTTAACAAGCAGCACAGGTACATCAATGAGCATATCAGCAAGCAGTTCCAGCACGAGCACTTCAAGCCTGACCAACTACCAGCACAACGGCATGTTCTACCCCAAGCATATCAGCCAACAGCACCAGCACAGGTACTTCCAGCATATCTCTGACCAGCGCCAGCTTCTGCAACCAGCACCTCAAGAAGCAGCAGCATTTCAACAAGCAGCACAAGCATGTCAAGCACATCAACAAGCAGCTCCAGCATGAACAGTTCAAGCATTTGCGTCGCCCATGGCACTTTTTATTTGAACGGCATCCTGGTCACACCCAACTTTGTCACACCCACAACTCTTCCACACACACACACACACGCAGCACTTTCACACACATCGCGTTGTCACGCACGATTCTTTCACGCGCAACATTGCCACACACAACACAACATTGTCACCCGCAACTTTATCACACACCACTCTTTCACACAGAGCATTGTCAGCCACAACTTTGTCACACAACTCCTTCACGCACAGCACTTGCAACATTGCCACACACAACTCTTTCACACAGAACTCTGTCTTTCACACACAGCACTTTCGCACAACTCTTCCACGCACACAACTTCACACACAACTCTTTTACACACATACGCACACAACATTGTCTCTCACACACACATGCCATCCTTCCCCGCGCAACATTCTCACACAGACGCAAGCACGAATAACATTGTCACACACACAACATTGTCACACTCACAACTCTGTCACACACACACACACACGCACCTTTTTCGCGTGCAACTCTTTCACAGTTTTCACACACACAGACACGCACACACAGAATTCTGTCTCACGACATAGCTTTCACACCCATCTCTTTCACACAGACCTGTCTCACACACAACTCTGTCACGCACAGCTCTGTCACACACAGCTGTGTCACACACAGCTCTTTCACACAATCTGTCTTCCACCATGTTCTTTCTCTTTCTTTGATTTCCTATCTCATTTTCACATCTGATTGGTGGTCATTGTAAGCCCATGATTTTGGGAGCGGATTTGCCGAGTTAAAGTTGAAATGGTCCCGATGAGGCCATTCACTGGTGGCCAAGCCAATAATTGGACAAATGGAGTGATGGCTGCCTTGTGAGGTGTAGTGGTGGCTGAGGTGACATTGACAAAGGAGCAAAAAGCAAGACAGGCTTTGACAAAGGCAAGCCTAAATCGGATGGTGAGGGGTCTCTGGCAGCTGTGGCGCGGGCCGCGTTGAAGAAGGAACAGCTGCCTGGAGCTTTTTCCGCTTCTTTTTCCAAGATCATGGGCATTCCCAATAGGGCAACTACAACAGAGTTGAAGGATGCCTTCACGCGCAGGGCTGCAGCGTTGCACCCGGACAGCCCAACAGGTGACGCAAAATCTTTCGCGAATTTGGTCAAGGCTTTCAAGACCTTAGTCAACTCACGGCAACCGGAGGAACATTGCGAGGGACCAGGCGGCCAATGGATCACCACCGCAGGATTGCTATTGCTGCTCCTGCGCGGGGTAGGCCCCGATGAATGGAAAGGAGTTCTTGCTTGCGTGTCGGATGAGTGCCTGAAGGAGGTTTATGATATGGCCAGCGGAGGCGGAGCTCAGATACAAAGATTCTTGTCGCGGCCTCACGGCTTTTCGCTTGCCATCTTGTAATTTCGTGATATGTCACTATGTCATGTCCACGTAATAGGAGTCACGTTGGTTTCGCACGATGTGGTCAAGCGCTGTGCGTTTCCGCATTATTTTGGGGGCTTCCCGATGTATGCTTATAGAGTGTCCACCACACGTGGCCACCTTGAGGTCAGAGATGCCCCAGCTGCAGGCTACTCGACGCATGCTGCCTTCTGCAGCGTGCCAGGTGGGCTTCTACAAGAGCACCGAAGGTTACAAGAGTCATTTTGAATTTCACGGCCTGACCGTATCAACATTTGGAACCTCATGCTTGCAGACAGCTTTGGTCCATCATGGCGACTTGATGCTAGCCATCTCGAGCATGGAAAAGGCGTTCTCTCACACCAAAGATTTGGACCGATCAGCAATGGCGATGAAGATTTTGCAGAACAGCATCCCTGTGTACTTTCAGGCCTACGTTCCACTGTCACCCACAGGGCGGCAGGAGCAAAAAGGCATCTACACCCCTTTCATGACCAGTTTGAATGCCGTTTTGAACTTGAAGACCAGTTTGCAGGCCGCTTTAGTCGATTCAAGCTGTAAGTTTCCGGAGCGCCGGCAGAGGGCTTGGGCACAGGTGAGCGCGGCTAGAAGCGACGTAGAAGCTCAGCGCAGCAGGCCAGTGAAGGATTTTTGCGAGAAAGTGAAGCAGGCCATGGCTCAAGAGCAGATGCGCCGAAGAGCGCCTGCAGTCATGGAAGCGGTGCCGGCCAAACAATCCAGACAAGTGGAGGGGAAGCCCGCTGAAAAGTGTGCACCTCAAAGAACTTCTCGCAAACGCCTTGCGAAGGCTATTGGTCAGAATTTCAGCCAGCAGGCACAAACAGAAATTGGTCAGTGGAAAACGTACCTGCAGGAGGAAAGGGGCTTGAGCAGGGGTAGCGCAGGAAGACTTGGAGTGTTGATTCTGCGGGCACTGCAATGGCTGATTGATCAAGAAGGCGTTGAGCGGCAGACCGTTTCAGTTGCTGACTTGCTGCGTGGTCCAGAGTTGGAAGGAGCAAATGTGGCCCTTAGGTACACTTCATGGTTGGAGCGTGAGCAAGAAGCTTCGAAATCCTATGTGTCCAACGTCTTCAATGCTTTGGTGTTACTCGCGACATTCCTGTGGTGTTCAAAATGGAGGGCTGGAGAGGCACATGACTGCAGCTCGCGCTCTGGCGCTCTTGAGGCCTTGCGCCGAGGATGGGCCAGGGTGAAGCCCCATGTTTCTTCAAGACGGTTTCTCCGGTGCGAATCAGACTACGCTTTGAAGCCGCAGGATTGCTGTGAGAGTTTTCGTGCAGATATGCAAGCATTCGAAGAGTCCCTGACGCAACTTTCCTTCCAGCAAACATGCTCAGTGCTGACGAAGTCCACAGCAAAGATTCACAGACGAAACATTTTGTCTGCAATGGGCTGGCTCAAAGAGTTTGGTGCCAATTATGGCGCGGAGTTTGAAATGCAGTTGAAGGCATTGGTGCCAAACCCGGAGGCTGAAGGTGCTCAGGTTGCCTTCTCTTTTCTGTCTTGGCTGCGCAACGACAGAAGCTGCAGCCCGAAGACAGAGATGTTTGTGTTGAACACGTTCAAACGCTTGGCGAAGTACTTGTACAAGTCAGAGCAACCTGCTTCAGGAAGGTCCAGGCCAAGTGAAAAGCACTTTGGTCATTTAGGTGTGATGCGAGAATTGCAGGCCTTGGAGCATCAAGTTTCTCACAGGGCCAAGTCCGCCAAGCCCAGCTCTGACATCAACAGGAAATGGCTTGACTGGCCATTCTTTTTGGAGGCTGTGGAGCGCTTGCGCGCAGAATGCCGCCCTTTGACATCCCAGGGAAAGAAGCGGGCACCAGGTGCTATTGCCAAGAGCTGGCAACGGTACCTGTTATGCAAAATGATGTCTGTAATTCCAGACCGGCAGCGCACTTTCAGGGAGTTGGAGATGGGCCGAACCTTTGTGCAAGTTCCCATGTCGCAGTTTGATCGCACTTTTGCGCTTGAAGCTGCGGAGATGGAGGCTGCGGGTGTGAAGTGTGAGGAGATTTGGGCAATTAAGCACAGCAGTGAAGATTACAAGACTGGCTCGACCTATGGTGAAAGACCTCTCCTACCACTTGGGCCAGGTTTGAGCCGAGAGGTTGATGAATTTGTTGGGAAATGGCGCGTGCATTTGTGCAAAGGAAACCACCAGTTCCTGTTTTGTCGCAAAGATGGGTTCCCACTCGCGGAGCGGGATATTTGGTTCTTGCTTACACAAGCAATGCGGCGGGTCGCAGGAAAGGCAGTAAATCCTCACCTTGTTCGAGACATGGTTGTAACGCATGTTCGCTCCCAAGATGTTTCATACAAGCAGCTGGAAAGCTTAGCCTTGTACATGGGGCACAGCGTGAAACAGCAGCAATCCACTTACGACAAGCGGTCCAAGGCACAGAAGGTGTCACCGGCTGTCAGTTTGTTGAACACAATCGCTTCCAGTGCGTCCAGCACTTCCGGCGCGCGTATGTAAAGGGGAACGTGTAAAGGACGGCCGTGGCTGAAGCAAAGTGCAAAAATTGCACCTTGTTTGTATTGCTTGCCGGCAGGTTCGGGACAGTTCGGAACTTTCAAGTTTGTCGCCTTCTTACCAAATGCATGGATCCAAGTGGAGCACTTACATATCTTAAATGCCACGCAACTGCGCGGGCTTTTGTACGGATGGTGGATTGACAATTATGGTGTGATGTTGGGCTGGGCACTTCACATGAATTTTCTTTTCTTGCCTGTTCTTGCCCGGATGCGTTGGCCCAAGTCCCAGAAAATCCCAAAAAGGGAGGTCAATGCAAGCTGTTGGGCCGCTGGTCGTTCCCATGCAGGCCACAAGCTGGCAGTGTCGGCATATGTGTCGTGAATCAGTTGTCCTTGACATGCTTGAAATTCGGGATTTCTGCTGTCAAACGAAAATTTTGATCCGTGTTGCCAGTGATACCGTATGTGGGTGCGAATTGACACAAATAACATGTTTCCGTGTGCGCGCATGGTTTCATGTCAGTCTTTTGAATTCATGCAAACAACTTGAAAGAGAGGCCGTGGAAGAGCGAGGAAGGAAAGTTTTGTCTCATGAGGCACGGAGACACAGTCATTTGTTTCACGCTGGATTTTTGGAACAGCGCGTTCCTTCAGTTTTCATGTGTCATGTGCAGTCAATGCGTACTAGCGATGATTATGCTAGTCTGCTAGTTGAAGTGCGTTTGCGGTGCCACTGCGTTGCTGGAACTCAGGTCGACGAACTTTTAGCAAAACATAGGCTTGAACTCTTCCGATGTTTGGAACTAGAGGCGCAACGTGGGGAAATGTAGGGGTAACGCGGGGCAATGCAGCCCTTCATGGAACCAGTGCAATCTTTCGAATGGACCTAATGGGAGTAAGTGAGAGGTTGAAAGCAACAAATACGGTTTTTGCATGTGTTTGTTGCATATTTCGTGGCGGCAGGCTGCGAGATCATTTGTTGTCTATTCTATTCCCATCCATTTCTGTCAGATTTGGCCGTGCAAAATACGTCGAAATACACATGAAACATCATGAAACGGAGTTGCCATTACACCTGGAGTCATTGTCGTTTGTATTTGGGTGGAAAGAATATGAAAGAATCATGGACTCATTGTTCTGTACCTTGGCCATGACATGCCATGACCCATCATGACCCTAAGGTTCTTCCCGTGCTTCCTTCGATGCCGGCTCACCATGTTCAGGCGGATTCGATTTGCAAGACCCAACTTGTCCTTGGTTTTGCATATTTTATGCAATTTTAATTCATTTTATGCATGTGATTTTCTGCCGGCTGATTTTTCCCATCCCACAGCTAAACAGTGGCGCAGGTCAACCCTTTGCCGTCACAGCCTGATGTCCACGTGATTTCAGCTTCCGCATCGATAGCAGCGACTTGAGAAACTGGCGACTTTGAGAAGTCGATAATTTCAGATCTCGCCTTGGGCCAAGGACCCCGCCGACTCTAGCAAGAGTGTCACAGGCTGATGGAGAAGTCAAGCATGCACAGACGTTGTGCTCTTCTCAGAAGGTTTTTATGTCTTTTTCGTTGTTCCCCACCTGCCAGGTGAGGGTTGTTAGATTTTATTAGAGCTGTTCTTCTCTTCCTCCTCCTGCTCCTCTTCCTCCTCCTTGTCCTCCAGCATCTCCTCCGCCACCTCTGCATCCACTCCCATGTTCACTTCCGCCTTGCCAACTCTTCGCCAACTTCCGCGCGCAGTGGGCACTGCTGGACCTCAACTGCCGGCGTGTGATCGGAGTGGGCACCGCTGGACCTCAGCCTGGGACCTTCCCAGCTCACTGAACACCTCTGGAGCTCAACCTGGGACCTTCCCAGCTCAGTGAGCACCGCTGGACCTCAACCTGGGACCTTCCGAGCTCAGTGAGCACCGCTGGACCTCAACGGCCAGATAGAATGCCAGAAGATATGCCAGATAGAACGGCAGATAGCATGTCAGATAGAATGCCAGAAGATACGCCAGATAAAATGCCAGAAGATATGCCAGATAGAATGAGTTCTGATATGCCAGATAGAATGCCACAAGGTATGCCAGATAAAGTGCCAGAATGTTTGCCAGATAGAATGCCAGAAGATTTGCCAGATAGAATGCCAGATAGGATGTCAGAAGATATGTCAGATAGAATGCCAGAAGATTTGCCAGTAACAAAACGTATAAATGCCATGGTGGGGATCACTCGAAGTGAAGTAATCTATTTGTTTAAGCATATCCTGGTCTTAGCCGTGGCCAATCGGTGCAGGGTTTTCCGAGATTCGCTGCGTTTTGATGATGATTCGACTTCTGCCAAAGCCCTCCCAGCAAACCAAACATCATAGATTTAATAGTACAATCAATGGGGGCAAAAAAAAGGCGTGTGATACAGTGTGAATCTCGAAAAATGAAGAGTTGATGCCTCATGCAGTAATAGTATATTTCGTGTATATCGGTAGGCTGTGCCTGCCATGGCATTTCATTGGTACATTGAGGAGAAACCAACACCAATGTCAATTCATTTCAACTCAACATCTACTTGGAGCGAGTGTTCCCTAAAATGTCTACCTTGGTTCAACCTCGATTTGGATGCTGTCACCCTTCAAGGTCAGTGCTTCCGATTGGCTCCCCTTTGACTGGTCCGCGAGTGGAGCTGGAAATTCAAAGTGACTCATCATGTTTGATCACTTTGTCATTTGACATCAAGACAATTCAAGACATCTATTGCTGGTGTTGTTTGCATGTTTCACTATGTTTCATTACCCTTGAAACATTTATTTTTTTTGATAGTTTTGATATTGATATGAATGCATTTGATCGTACTGCCCGCGATGATCGGCAAGGTTCCAGCTGAGTGGTTTGGGTCAGGCCCCCGCTGGCACAGCCTGATAGATACACTGTCTGAGCAACCTGCGGACGTCATAGGAGCCCGAGATAGCCCGAGTTTACAAACCGGATGTCCCATGGTCCGTCGCAAAGATCTCTTGAGAATGATATCCCTGCCAGCGTACCACGCATTGTGGCTTGACAGGATGTCAAACAGCTCAATTCCAAAGAAAGAAATCGAAAAAGGCGACGGAAGCCGAGCAACAACAGTGCACTCCTTAGCCTTTCCCATCCTTATGTCATGACCATGTGGAAGACGCTTTCATATCATGCTTTCCCAGAAGCTTTCCTGACTTTTATGTCACATGTGTGTAAAGTCTCATTGTTCCATCCAGACAACATGATCCAAGTCAGAGAAACTGCCACACCTGCCCCTTGCTGTGCAGTTACCTGTTGCTGACTGTCCTGGGATTGGATAATACTACATTACATGAGGAATGTAATGATAATCGGAATAAAATGCAATAAGACCGGATATAAATGGATATATGATAGAATCATAAAGAGATTTAAAGAGGTATGATAATGGAATTGATGAACATGCCTGATGTCTCTGGCGAGATTTTCTACCAAGGCATGTTCATGTCACCGAGACAACGCTCCGAACTGTTGGCTGAAGCCACTGCACTGGACGGGAATGATTTCTGGGGATCGGCATGAGTTGAGTAGTCTATGATGGTAGTCCATGAGAGCGCGTGTGATGAGATATCCAAAACGTTCAAACATATTCAGTAATTTCAATACAATTAGCGTATAGGTAGGTATATGTAACAGTTTACTTAAAGGTCTTACAAGGCCCAGAGGTTCACAAGAGCAACTATAGTTGTTTTTGCCAACAGCGTTGATAACGACCCCTGCGTTTTTGCGAATTTTCCGTGCTGCCTCGGGTACATGCCTCAGCTTCGCGGGTCTTGTCATGCATTGAGTGTGTCGGGTGGGGGTGGGGTGGGATAATAACGTCATTGGCACGTCCACACATACGTGATGCAACATTACTGTACGCTCTCCTGCGCTTCATCCATATACATACATACGTCATGCCACTTTTTTTGCCCGGGCCCACCTAGTTGATGCTACGTTGTAAGATGTCTCTTGCACTTGCCCACCGACTTGATGCTACGCTGTACGATGTCTCTTGCCCACCGACTTGATGCTACGTTGTGAGATGTCTCTTGCACTTGCCCACCGGCTTGATGCTACGTTGTGAGATGTCTCTTGCACTTGCCCACCGACTTGATGCTACGCTGTACGATGTCTCTTGCACTTGCCCACCGACTTGATGCTACGCTGTACGATGTCTCTTGCACTTGCCCACCGACTTGATGCTACGTTGTGAGATGTCTCTTGCACTTGCCCACCGGCTTGATGCTACGTTGTGAGATGTCTCTTGCACTTGCCCACCGGCTTGATGCTACGTTGTGAAAAGCTTCATGTTTCGTTACAACGCTGGATGTAAGATATGGAATCTTTTTAGGAAAGCTGGCCAAAAATTGCGACTAAATAAAGCATCCCCGGGAAATTCAAATCAACATGGTCAAAATACTTTGCAAAAAACAATACGAAATAGGAAAATGACTCCCCCGCCTCACGAGGGTCACTCAGTTTCAAGTCGCAAGTTGGCAGTCATCGTTGCAAAACACTGTAAATACCACGCAATGTCGTCAGAGCCTGGAAAACAAAATGTGTGTTTCGTGAGGGGTCGCAAGTGACGCCGTAGCCTTGTATTTCATTACCCTGAGATGGCCTGAGCCTTGCTACCGCGCAGGCTATCTGTCTATCGGTCTATCGGTGTATTTGTCTATCTATCTATCTGTCTATCTATTTATCTATCTACCTATCTATCTATCTATCTATCTATCTCTATCTATCTATCTATCTATCTATCTGACTATCTGACTATCTATCTATCTGTTTGTCTGTCTGTCTATCTATCTACCTATCTATCTATCTATCTACCTCCCTGACTATCTGACTATCTATCTGTTTGTCTGTCTGTCTATCTATCTATCTGTCTATCTATCTGTGTGTCTATCTGTCTGTCTGTCTATCTATCTATCTATCTATCTATCTATCTGACTATCTGACTATCTGACTATCTATCTATCTGTTTGTCAGTCTGTCTGTCTGGCTATCTATCTATCTGTCTATCTATCTACCAATCTATCTATCTATCTGTCTGTCTATCTATCTGGCTATCTGACTCTCTATCTATCTGTCTGTCTGTCTGTCTGTCTATCTACCTATGTGCCTATCTATCTATCTATCTATCTACCTATCTATTATCTGTCTATCTATCTATCTATCTGTCTATCTATCTATCTGACTATCTGACTATCTATCTATCTGTTTGTCTGTCTGTCTGTCTATCTATCTACCTATCTATCTATCTATCTATCTACCTCCCTGACTATCTGACTATCTATCTGTTTGTCTGTCTATCTATCTATCTGTCTATCTATTTATCTATCTACCTATCTATCTATCTATCTATCCATCTATCTATCTATCTATATCTCTCTCTATCTATCTATCTATCTCTCTCTCTATCTATCTATCTATCTATCTATCTATATATCCATATATCTATCTCTATCTATCTATCTGTCTGCCTGTCTGTCTGTCTATCTATCTCTCTATCTCTCTCTCTCTATCTCTCTATCTGACTATCTGACTCTCTATCTCTCTATCTATCTATCTATCTATCTCTCTCTCTCTATCCCTCTATCTCTCTATCTGTCGGTCTGTCGATCTGTCGATCTGTCTATCTGTCTATCTGTCTGTCTATCTGTCTATTTTTCTATCTTTCTATCTATCTATCTATCTGACTATCTGACTATCTGTTTGTCTGTCTGTCTGTCTGTCTATCTATCTCTGTATCTGTCTACCTATCTCTATCGATCGATCGATCTATCTATCTATCTGTCTATCTATCTATCTCTCTATCTCTCTATCTCTCAGTCTCTCTCAGTTTCTCTATGTCTCTATCTGTCTATCTGTCTATCTATCTATCTGTCTATCTGTCTGTCTGTCTATCTGTCTATCTGTCTATCTGTCTATCTGTCTATCCGTCTATCTGTCTGTTTGTCTATCTGTCTATCTGTCTATCTGTCTATCTGTCTATCTGTCTATCTACCTACCTACCTATCTATCTATCTATCTATCTATCTATGTATCTATCTCTCTAGCTGTCTATCTCTCTATCTCTCTATCTCTCTCTAGCTGTCTATCTCTCTATCTGTCTATCTGTCTATCTGTGTATCTGTCTGTCTGTTTGTCTGTCTACCTGTCTATCTGTCTATCTGTCTATCTGTTTATCTATTTATCTGTCATTTGCCCAACGAAAGTTGAAAACGAAGCTGTTCTGCGAGAAATTCTCCAAATTTAATGGTGCAATCTTGAAAACTACCGTTCTCTGCGAGACCTCCTTTGAATTTGACAGTTGCTAGCTTCAAAAAGAAGCTTTTCTGCGAGACTTCCCACAAAATTTGACACTTGAAAGCTTGAAAACGGGGCTTTTCTGCGGGGTTTCCTTCAAATTTGGAATATACAGACAAACTTGGACCTCACAGTTCCAATACGATTTGCAGTTTTTCACCTCCAAGTCTCCAAAATACCGCGCCTGCCACGAAAAAGTGCAGCCGAGGCATACCAAATGCTGCACATTGCTGCACCTGCCACGAAAAATGATGTCCATCAAAAATGATTTCTGCAACACAATTATAGGACCGGATAACCCCACATGTTAACAACTTCTCCAGACTTAGATGGAGCACAGAAAAGCAACAAGGGAAGAGGAAGTATGACAGTGATGGAGGGGTGATGGTGGGTGAGGTTGTGTGTATGTATGTATGTGCATGTGCAGGTGATGTCACTTTGGTAGTGTGGTAACGACATGTGTACCGGATGTAAGAGACAGTTTGTCAGTGAGAGTGAATGAGTGAGTAAGTGAGTGGGTGAGTGAGTGAGTGAGTGAGTAGAGGAAGTGAGAGCGTGAGTGGGTGAGTGACTGAGTGAGTGAGTGAGTGAGTGAGTAAGTGAGTGTGTGTGTGTGTGAGAGTGAGTGAGTGAGTGAGTGAGTGAGTGAGTGAGTGAGTGAGTGCACATGAGTAAGTGAGTGTGTGTGTGTGTATGTGTGAGTGTGGGTGTGTGTGAGAGAGAGTGAGTGAGTGAGTGAATGAGTGAGTGAGTGCACATTGTCCCACGCCTGCCACGCAAAAGAGGCGGAGACCGAGGGACGCCAGAGGGACGCCAGGGCGTGCATCCAACCCTTTGGCAGTGCACATTGTCCCACGCCTGCCACGCAGGCAGTGCACATTGTCCCACGCCTGCCACGCAAAAGAAGCGGAGACCCAGGGACGCCAGAGGGACGCCAGGGCGTACATCCAACCCCTTGGCAGTGGACATTGTCCCACGCCTGCCACGCAAAAGAGGCGGAGACCCAGGGACGCCAGAGGGACGCCAGGGCGTACATCCAACCCCTTGGCAGTGCACATTGTCCCACGCCTGCCACGCAAAAGAGGCGGAGAGGGACGCCAGGGCGTACATCCGACCCCTTGGCAGTGCACATTGTCCCACGCCTGCCACGCAAAAGAGGCGGAGACCCAGGGACGCCAGAGGGACGCCAGGGCGTACATCCAACCCCTTGGCAGTGGACATTGTCCCACGCCTGCCACGCAAAAGAGGCGGAGACCCAAAGACGCCAGAGAAACGCCAGGGCGTACATCCAACCCCTTGGCAGTGCACATTGTCCTACGCCTGCCACGCAAAAGAGGCGGAGACCCAGGGACGCCAGAGGGACGCCAGGGCGTACATCCGACCCCTTGGCAGTGGACAATTCTCCACGCCTGCCACGCAAAAGAGGCGGAGACCCAGGGACGCCAGGGCGTACATCCGACCCCTTGGCAGTGCACATTGTCCCACGCCTGCCACGCAAAAGAGGCGGAGACCCAGGGACGCCAGAGGGACGCC